TCTGGCCACTCCGCAACCGACGGCAACGCCAGTAGCGCAATCGGCGTCAACGGTCTTTAGGTCGCTTGTGTCCAGTTGCGATGTCGATCGGTTCAGGAACTTACTTATTCGATGGATTGTGAAGCAACAGATCCCTTATTTCGCTGTGGAACAGACAGATTTTAGGGACTTGTTGATATACCTGCAACCATCGCTTCAAAAGTACCTTGTTAAGTCACACACAACGGTTGGCGCCTGGGTCTGCGACGAGTTCGATAAGGGTAAGGAACAGATGAAGTTCCTGTTACAGACCAGTTAGTCCTCCGTTCATATAAGCTTTGATATCTGGACCTCACCGTCAGCGCTCCCAATACTTGGAATTTATGGTCATTTTCTTAATAATAGTCTTAAACTGCGGCAGGCTCTCCTAGGGCTTCGATTAATAGAGGGATCACACACTAAAGAGCGAATCGCAGAGGCAATCGCAGGAGTGATCGCAGAGTTCGAACTTAAGGAAAAACTGAGTGTATACGTCGTAGATAATGCTGCCAATTGTTCCACTACCTATAAACTATTAGTTAGGCGTTTCCACCCAGGTGAAGAGGAGGGCTCTCGCCGATCGCGCTGCCTAGGCCATATCATCAATCTCGCAGCTTAGGCTTTCATTTATGGCAAGGGTAACGAGGTCTTTATCAACGCCGCCGAATTTGCGCGGGAACTGTCAACTCGAGATCAACAGGCCCTCGCTGAGGAACAGGCTCTCTGGAGGACGAAAGGATCGTTTGGTAAGTTTCATAACACTATTAGATTCATTAGAGACTCTAGTTAACGTCGACAGCAGTTTTAGGCAGTGATTAATATGGTGGTAAGTTAGATGAATCTTTAAGGTGATAGAGATGGCGCAGATAGAAAGTCAATCGATTTCTTACGTAATCTCGATTCAGTTGCCTAATTAGGAAAGGTGCCATTAATTCCTCTTAATCTAAGTGGCTAGAGCTAGGCTAACTTACCTAATCTAGTAAGTGAAAATGGCGAGACTTCTACTCCTGACTTTGGCGATCTACAACCTAATCTTCTGCTAATCCTTAATAACGCAACCAGATGGAATTCTACCTATTTAGCTATCCAACGAGGTCTCAGACTGAAAGAAGCCCTTAAGATCTATGTTCTGCAAGCGCCAGACTTTATAGAAGACGACATCCTAACGGAGGAGGACTGGACGCAGTTGCATGCGATCTACGAAGGCCTCAGGCCGTTCTAGGAGACGACCCTAAGACTTGAAGGCACTGGTACCAACGGCTCTCACGGAGTGATCTGGGAGGCCTTACCAGTGCTAGATATGCTCAGTTGCCACGTTGAGACCTTCATGACTACTAATCAACAGTCGTAGGCTAGTCAGTTGCAACGAAGGCGAGGAGGGACACAACGGTATATAACTAGTGTTGACCCTCTGGTCGTCTATTATTAAAACGCCTGGGAAGTCCTGCAAATCTATAACGACCTAACAGACAAGAACCACGAGATCTATGCCGCAGGCGCTCTCCTCAATCCTTGTCTACGCCTTCAGTACTTCAGGCGATCCTAGACTAATGAGGCCGCAGGTCAGATCGAACCTATAATTGCAAAGAACCGTCGAATCTAGGAGGTTATCTACAGGCAAAATACGCCTAAGAACGTTCTACCTGTTTAGCAATCGTCTCTCGGCGCATTCATTGAGCGAATGCAAGCATCTAAAACATCTACGATCGAGGACGACTTCTATAGATACATCAATGGTCGACCAACGCCCTTCACAGATTGGCGCGATAAAAACCTGTTCCAATGGTGGTCTACTTGCGACTTCCCTGCGCTTCGCCAGTGGGCTTTCAACACTCTATCAATACCTGCGATGTCTACAGAACTTGAGAGGATCTTTAGCCAGTCGAAGAGGACGATAACAGCCGATCGCAATCGCCTTTCAGCGAGGTCTTTTGAGGCCTCGCAATGCTTGAAACACTGGATTGATCAAGGTCTATACACGGTCGGAGGACCTGCCTAGTTCCACCAATCAGAGCCCTCCGTTTGCGGATGAACTAGTCAGACTATAGTCTGACTACTGACTATAGTCAAGGTCGTGGGCTTGACTATAGTCTGACTAGTGACTATAGTCCTGGCAACACTGCTTGTTACAATGGCAATTAGGGTTTTCGTTCGTGGGTAGCCTACTGTAGGTAATTCCTTCGTAAAACCTTAGCTATATACAAGTGAGTACTAAACTTAGTAGGAGTTAGGGGCCAACGTAGATCACTGCCTCGGTAGAACTACCATATTTTTAGATTTTCGCTCGAAAATGTACAAGATATATGGACAATGGACATTTAATCGACCAAGGTAATACATCCTGGATCATAGTTTACTGCAGGCCTAGACGAAGTCATTATATGGCCAATTTTTCATGAGTAATTTGTGCTCAGAGTCTGCTACAGCCGTACTAGCAACATCACCAATGTGGTTCTTTTCACCAAAGTTTTGATCGTTGACCATTAACGCTTTGATGGAAGGCTATGAGATAGATTACTCTAAAAGTCATTATCGAGTGGTAAGAAGGTTAGACATTCGTGTCCGCTCCCGCTCCCAATCGCAATTGTCACAAGAGAAAGCTCGTGTCGACAGAAGTATGAATGAGCAAATATCATTGATCAGCCCCCTCCAGTCCTTTCCAATGCAAAGTTGCCATTCCATATGGCCCGCCGAAAGTTCAGGCGTAGGTAGGAGTTACAGGTCAAACTCCGATGTCACGCAGAAGGCCGCGTTGCGGTATAGCGGGGGCTTTGTGCCAGTGCCAAACCGTACGGCGGAGAGTAGCTCGGTTCAAAAGAAGGTGCTCGTGCAGGCACGTCTCGAAGGTCATCCGAGGTGTTGGTTGCCCTTGAACTCGTTGTCATTATAGAGTGAGGTGTTCGGATTTGTGACGGCAGGCGAACAAGTCCTCCGGACATGCGTGCTGGGGGGGTTGGGGGCCAGCAGCAGACATTGGAAGCATTGCATCTCCTGTCCGATCCGCGTTTTTAGGCGCGCGACCGGGATGAAGAAGTTCATATTTGGGCGCCTTCTGTGCATCAGCAACTTTGCCAATATCTTGAGCCGATGGTTGCTGGCCTGGTTGGCATTGTGTCTGACCGGCTTGAGGGAGCACCATCCCTTTTGGTACCCGCTGCTGAGAGGCCGGGGAATCCTTTTTTTTTTGGCTTTTGGGGACGTCAACTGTCTTCTCAATGTTCCGAAACGTGATCCTTTCGGAGTCTCGGATATCGGTGACTCTGTGGCTGGGACATTGGATGAATCAACGGGTGAATTGTTGGCAGTAAAAATTCTCAGAAGCTTGTGCCTTTTCTTATTCTTACCCGAAGCACATGGTTCCGGAACGGGCGTCTTCCTAATCTGTAGTGTCTGGGACTGGCACAAATTGTGCTTTGAGGAATCCTGCACGGAATAAAGCTCGGACGTCCCACCGCTCTGTTTTTCAGGATCTTCTTCTTGCATTTGTCCATCGGATAACGGAGAAGGATCTTGTACGCTGGTCAGATTCGGAGACGCAACTAAGTCCGCTGTCCCTTCATCGAAACCTTGATACGCCTCCTTATCTGTGGAAATGGCAGATTCGCCTAAGGGTAAGAGGACAGGGCTCTCGCATACGCAAGGACGGTATGAGGTGCTTGGAGCAACATTTTCTGTGTGGGAGCAGCTGACAACTAGTGCAATCTCATGGCCTCTTCGGGCCGGACGCAGGAGGGTTCTGAGAGTCAGCGTCATTCTGTTTGATCCATGCGGGGTTGAAGGTCTTCTTGTATCGTGGAGCGCTGCAATTGAAGCCCGTTGTAACTCTTGATATGCGCGTGGCATCTCCAAGCTCCGAGCCCGCCCTTCCATTTAGGGTTAGCCCGGCTATTGGGGAGGCAAATTTTGAAGAATAACTGTATAGGGCAAATCCAATATATCCTCAGTCTAGGGAAAAACTGAGTTACTGTCTATCACAAGATCGAGAGATTCAAAATATTTCAAAGCAAAGGTGACAGACAACGCCACCCCGCTAGAGGATGTCGGCAAAGAGAGGCCGAGCTTGAGGCTGTGAGGCTGGTGGGCGGTACTCGGCGTCGCCATTGAGCCAAGTGACTTGCACCAGCAGGACCCATTCTCAGCCTTATCTCTCATAAAGGCGTCGACGAGGATTGCTTCGAAGTCATGTTTCCCAGTGCAAACATCGATGAACATGGGGACGAATACCCAGGACCAGGCTGAATGGCATTTCAACAACGTCAATTACATGTCTGACTTGCGGGTCTTACCGGCTCCCTGGGTAAAGCATTGCTGATGTGCTTTAGGGACAATGGGCATGAGTTGCGACGGACCTTAAAGACGTTCGAAAAATCACAACTTTCTGATGAAACAGACGTGTATGCGATCAAAGCGAATGAGGCTTTTGATGGTTGCTTCAAAAATATATATATATGTAGAAGAGTTTCTTTACTGACGAGATTCCAGATTGGGAAGAAACGCATATGGGGTCGGCAGCGTTGCGGAATTTCCTCCAGGTATATTGCAAAGACAAAGGGCTCCCTAAGCAAAGTTGAGGAGTTCTGGATGACGCGGTCATGGTCTCCACGAGGCCTTTCGAACAAGCACCAATTTCTGTGAGAATGCCTCCAAGTTGTTGACTGCTGACCTAACCCATGGCTTCCGGATTCATCAACCGCCTCTTGGTCCGCAGCACGCGGGACCCCATACCGTCAGACTCGAACAAGCTTCGACAGGATCCTGGACTTTTCAGGCTCCTAATGAAAACATTTGATGTACCCTTGGCATTTGTATCAGCGCTCACTCAGCTTCATCTACCCAGCGGCCGTGGCTTTGGGAGTCCTGAGATGAAGCCGCCGAGACAATAAACCAAATTCAGCTTTTGGTATGTCCTCCCGATTAGGATGCAAGTACTCTGCGACGATACAGAGAGGGCCCATGTAGCTAGCACAGCAGGGAGAAATCAGATGGATCCCCGCCACTACCTGCATTTACTAGAAGTAAGAGTGGACGTCAGGGGTTCTCAGATTGCTATCTTGTGCGAATTCTTGCAAAACGAGCCGGGATCAGCGACAATCGTGTTCAACTTCATGGACGGTCGTTGGAGTCGGTCTGTTGAAGAGCCTCAACGGCGACTGGAAGAGTCCGTCAAAATCGCCGACGGTCTCAGCCTCGCTGTGGACCCATTATTCATTCATTCGATATTCTTCACGAGCAGCCATCGGTGGTGGATGAGCTCATTGAGCAGCATCAATGACCAACTGATCACATATGTAGGCAGGCCTTATACCTGTTGACGATTTCCGCGCTGATAAATACAGGAAAAACGGCTCCAGCAAGAAATTGATGACGAGACAGAGGCATCAGACGTCTATAGTGTAATTAACCGAGCTCTGAATTCCATAGCGGCTCGCCTGCGTCGCTACGCCTCGGAGTTATTAACAGCGCCCGAAATTCTCGGTGGCATCAAGGAGCATCATGACAGCTTTTCACAACAACAAGCAGAAGAAAATCAGCAGAAATACTATCGAGTCTCAAAATGTCTGAGCCAGATCTGCTCTCACATGAAACAGGTCAGGATTTTGCTGGAGGAGCTCGAGGTGAAGCTGAAGAATATCCTTGCACTGGTGGGTCCCCTTTTCCACCACTATGACCAACTTATGTGCGGGAGAACATTCTAACTGGCTTTGCAGTTGTTCAATCGCATGCAAATTGCCAATGATCGCCCGATGGTGTCTAACGGTAGAAAAATGCACTCGATCCTACAGGCGACGCGTGAAGACTCCGAGATCTCTCGAATTATCGCCGCGAAACAGGGTCAAATCGCGGAGGAAACGCAGAAAGACAACGTCGCCATGAAGACTGTGAGTCTGCTCATGAGGCATCCTGTGCTTTACCATGCCTACTGACACATGTGGAGATCGCCGTGACTACCATGTTTTTCCTTCCTGGCCCTCGTTTGCTGTAAGAAAACAATGTACGCCAAAAATGACCATGTTAACAACTCCGCGTAGGCATTCCTAGCGATGCCGCTCTTCGCACAAGATGACTACTTGACAAATGGAGCGAAAGTCTGGGTATGGGTCGTGTGCACGGTTCCCTCAACATGCGTTGCATTCGCCTTCTACTCCTACTGGAGGCCGAGGCATGAATTGAGGAAGAAGAATAGTCCCTACGCTGTCACCGGCCACGAGAATGGCCGGGTCCTTCAACGAGGACTCGCCTAGTGTTACATTCGATACTAGATTGAATTGTGCAATGCTAGGCGGTCATGGAGCGTTGAGATGGTCGGAGATGCCGTGATTTGGCAAGACGTACGCGTCCTCCTGCAAGACGACAGAGCCGCACAATTGACGAGAATGGCTAGCAAATGTTCTCTCTATGTTTTCTAGCATGCTGCTATTGGCGGCTTGGGCTCAGGGATCCTGGTCTTTCTTTCCAAGTGTGGGGCTGGTGGGCTGTGTAGAGACATGCATAGGGAAAGGACCGTCCAGGTCCCCACTACCCTGTAATGGTTGCTTCTCTCTTATGCATGCAACCACTGTGTTCTGCCTTGTAGGGATCGCGGGTATGAAGACCTGACTGCCACAAACTGACAGACCTTTCGAGAGCATACCCCGCTTCACAGTCTGTCAGCCTCATGCATTACGATGATTGGCCGTGGCAGTGGTTCCATCTGCGAGATAAAGTCAACGTTAGGATATGAAGGTCACCATCTCACTATAACCAACTCATGTTCTTTCCTACCCTTACATACGCCTAAACGACTAGGACTGGGCCCGGAAACGTGGTGATGATATGCCTTCCCCGTCGCAATCCATGACTTTCCAACTTCTTCCCTCGCACAGCATCCCGGGAGTTTGTCAGAATCAGCTGATATAGCACTGTTAGATAAAACTAGAAGGATCAACTCTGAACGCCCTAATCACATTCCGCATTGCACAAGCATTTCCTCACCCGTAGCAGACACCAGTTCTTCAAAACCACTATGGCGCCTGGTGACCGCGACTGTCACACGCCTGAAGCAAGCGACAATGCCTCCCATACAAACCCCCTTCCCCTTATGAGCCCAGCCGACGAAGGCATATTGTTCCTTTCGCTCTGTGCCGCTCTCTGTTCTCAACTGATGTGTCAATCAGTACTCGTGGTGCTGTGCTCCGCGAAGAAATCAGCGCTGTGCAAGAGGTGACAGATCTCCTGACCTTGGACGCACGATACGCTAGCAGGGTGGCGCCATGGTCACAATTCTGCCACGGACTGCAGGGTCTTGAGACTTTGGGAGCGCTCAGAAACTCGGCCGGGAACGAACCAAATTGCTTGTTCGACAACTCAACGGTGCTGAAGGCTCTCAACTCAACGAACATCTAGTAGCTGCTCACTGACGGCGAGATCTCTCAGAGCTTCATCGAACGCTTCTCGGTCAACATCAGCAGAGCCGGGCTGCATGGAAAAGCCTGCGTTATCATCTTCTTCGGCCACCGGAAGCCGAAGCCTGAAGATTGTAACATCTCTGTCGGAGTGTCGCTCTTTGCCTTAGTACCCGACTGTCTCTTCCTCTTTCACAATGTCGAGACATACAAGGTGTTTGCAGTCGAAAGGCTCTCTCGGCTTGATCAACAGTCACCAGTCAGTCTCGCAGGAGATCAACGACAGGACCAACTGGTCGGATTTGAAGACCATACGCTACTCCGATTTCGGGAAGATCGCTATTCCGAAGTCAGCAAAACCTCGACACGGACGAAGTAATGTTGCAAGACGGCAGCAAAGTGAACTTGGCACAGCTATACGCGATGAGATCAATGACGAACATGTGCGGACTATCCTGGGGAATGATGACTATTTGAACACAGTGATGTTGACTGCAACAACGCGAGGAGAGGCCAACTTAGTTGAGCACCGACTAAAAGGCCAACGCAGACTTCCGCCGGGAACTATCAACGCCTACCAAGTCGATGTAGAGAAAAAAGCTGAGCATTGTGTCAGCCATATTGTCGGCAAGCTCATGAACTATGGGTGTCTGCCTAGGCCTGACCACACGGTTCGCCTAACGCTTCGTGACGCGCACAAACGCAACTGGCGCAAATTTGCCACAGCATGCGCTGGATGAGAACAAAATGATGAGGTCAATCTAGTCGTTGCGCACGCGGTGAACCGCCTGGAGATTATCAAAGAAAGGGGACTCGGTAGTCCAAGCAGTATCGCCTCTCCGACTCCAGGTATGGGATTTGCTACCTCTTCTAGCAGGGCATCTCCAGCTCCAGTTCCCTTTATCGCATCTCCGACTCCGCATATGGTACTTGGTACCCCGTGTAGCGCGGCATCTCTAATTCCAGGAGCTGGCGGCGGTTACTTCCAAACACCCCCAAATCCTGACTGGACAGGAACTACGTAAGATACGAATCAAACCTGGAGCCCACGCCCACCCAATGCTCCGAAGCTACAGCAGCGACCCTTCTCTGTACAAGAGGTACAAGCTCAGGTTACCTTCATCCCCGGCTACCGGAGATCGAAAGCCGGCTTAGGCACTGTGCACCCATGTCCGATACGTGGTGAATTATCTCCAACGTTCGAGATTTCGCTCAAATCATCACCAGTTGGCATGCCGACGCGGCGTTTCACAGCACCTCATAGCCGTTCGGCGATGGTATACCCACTCACGATGGCTGGATACCCCGAGACAGACGTTCTATCCGCTTTCGTCTGTTGTGATCCTTGCGCTTATCACATCGCGAACGTTGGAAGTAGCCCCTTGTACGAGGACCTCAAAGCCGCCATTCCGACCTTGGTCGACCTGGAGGACGAGGCAAATCGCGAGACATGGACGAAGAGTGTGGACAATGTTCTGCATGCTCGGTTTCTGGAGTCCGACTATCCACAAATCAGGTTCGCTATCCTCGACCACGCTCGCTTGAGCACTGCAAGACCAGGCAGAGACCTCCTTTACAAGGACGTACTCCTCGATGTTTGGAGGCAGGCCTCAAATCAGTTGCGGCCGCTGTGTCTAGTCAATCACGGCACCAAGGGGCAAGCGGCGAATATCTCCGACGTGGTCAATCATTTCCTAGGCGACGACATCATCGACGATAAGGGCTTGATCTCTGACTCGACACTGGAATCCCTTCAGCATCCTGTTGACTCATTTGTGCTGTTGCTTCGAAGCACCACAAACCTAGGGATCAATCTCGGCACTCGAATGATATTCATGCGACTTGTTCTTCATATGCTTGAACAATGTGCCACACTGGAGACGGACAAGTTCAATCCACGTCGCGCAAGTGCGGAGACCGTTCTTGAATCTGCGTTGAAGGAAGCCGATGTCTCGAAAGTGACCGTATCCTCGCTGCACGAGAATGGCTTAATTGACGACTCAGCCTATAACTCGTCCACATCAATAGGTGCAGCCTGGACTCCCGTGGAGACAACATGCATTGCAGCAATCCAGGCAATGCTGGCTCAACTCGCCATGTGCACCAAAATCAAAAAGCAAGAACAGCATGCGGATGACAAGGAGGGCTTGAGTAATCTTGGCAGCGGAGTTGAAGATCAATTACCCCCAATCGTACAGTTCACTCGGTGGCTTCCGGACGACATGCTAAGGACGTTGTGTCGTTGGCCGCGGGATAAAACGATTGCCGAGGATTACTTGGGACATCTGAGCGGAGAAGGTATGGTAACGACGAGGGAGGTAGGGATGGTCGCCGGCTAAGTGGAGGGAAGTGTGCTCGATTTGTACCGGGTGTTTTGACGCATTTCAATCCTCTCAGGGTTTGAGGCTATTCACAGCAGTGTCAGAAGGAATCCAAGAAGGATGAGGCCAACAAAGTCAACAGACGGGCCAAGAATGGCAGATGGGGAATCTTCCCTTTTGAATCGACAGCGGGCAAAATCTAAATTGCCGATTGGTTGTTCCTCTTCATACTATGTAGCTTCTTGATAACATGAATTTTTCCAATGACAGCTCTGGGTTGGTAGAATTGGGAGTTGAATAAGTGGTGGAAGGTCGGATTCGGTAAAACTGCGGCGTGGTGTTCAGTGGATCACGTGTCTGTATCACGTGATGACAATACTTTCGAGGCATTTCGTCACTCGGCGCAAGAATTTTTGCTTAGGCCAAGGCAAATTTTTGCCGTTGGTCTGATTGGTTTAGTGAGCCACCTCCGCCTGCGCTGAAATCTTTGCTCAGTCCAATCGACCTCCCACACCAATCTTTTCCTGCTCCATCTCTCTCCATCTCCACAGACCGACGTCGTCTGTTGTGAAGAAAAAGAATTTTGGTGCTATCGACCTTGCAGAAAAACTAAGACTTACCTTCCCAAGGCTCTGATACTTCAGCTTCCTCTTGCCTGCACGAAAATTGTCATCGCGTTCATGTGCTTCCCCAGCATCTTCACCTCTCAAGTACGTGTTTTTCTCTGTCGCCGTCCCCGCCAGCCCACTGATAAGCACCTCATTTCATTGTGTCACTGCATTCCCAACCTCATTTGCAATCTTCTGCTAACACATGGACTCTTAGGATTACATTAGTGGTAACTATTGACCTTCCTCTTGGACTCGTTGACTTCTCTGACGGCGGCGTTAGATCATTTGTGGAAGGCACAGGCAAACTAGCGGTCAGGAACAAGGCGAAAAACCACACGAGTCATAACATTTCAAGATGTTTTCGAGGGCTTTGAAGCAGTCGACCCTTGTGCCAAAAGCGGCCAACATTTACTCGAGCGCCTCCGCTTTACGAGCTCGATCCCTGGCCACTGTGGCGGAAACCCCCTCCCGACAGCAACATCGGCCCGTGCACGAGCAGATCAAAAGTACCCCTCCTGCTCGCGAAAGGGCAACGTTCACCATCCGAAATGGGCCCATCTTCGACGGAATCTCCTTTGGGGCTCGAAGCAACGTCTCAGGAGAGGCCGTATTCACCACCTCTCTCGTGGGATATCCAGAGTCCCTCACCGATCCCTCCTACCGCGGCCAGATTTTGGTCTTCACCCAGCCCTTGATCGGCAACTACGGTGTCCCATCTAATGTTCGAGATGAGCATGGCCTTCTAAAATATTTCGAGAGCCCTAACATTCAAGCCGTGGGGGTCGTGGTTGCCGATGTTGCAGAGAGGTATTCTCACTGGACTGCTGTGGAGAGTCTGAGCGAATGGTGTGCGAGGGAAGGAGTTCCAGCCATCACGGGCGTCGACACCCGAGCCATTGTGACCTACCTGCGAGAGCAAGGTTCTAGTCTGGCCAGAATCACCATCGGAGAGGAGTACGACCAAGACCAGGACGAGGCGTTTATCGACCCCGAGCAGATTAACCTCGTCCGAAAAGTCAGCACCAAGGCTCCTTTCCATGTCAGCGCTGCATCGCCAAATGCCCACGTTGCCGTGATTGATTGTGGAGTCAAGGAGAATATCCTACGCAGTCTTGTCAGTCGCGGAGCCAGCGCAACTGTCTTCCCGTTTGACTATCCCATCCACAAGGTCGCCCACCATTTCGATGGTGTGTTTATCTCCAACGGTCCTGGTGACCCGACTCACTGCCAAGACACTGTCTACCATCTCCGAAAGTTGATGGAGACGTCTCAGGTTCCTATCATGGGGATCTGCTTGGGCCACCAGCTAGTCGCTTTAGCCACAGGAGCTAGGACGATCAAGCTCAAGTATGGCAATCGAGCACATAACATCCCCGCTCTCGACCTGACTACTGGAAAATGCCACATCACCAGTCAGAATCATGGATATGCTGTTGATGCGTCAACCTTGCCAAAGGGATGGAAGCCTTATTTCATCAATCTGAATGACAACTCCAACGAAGGTGAGCGCCCCACCTGGTCACGCACAATCCCCCAAGTACTTACAGTTATACAGGTCTCATCCACGAATCTCGCCCTATCTTTTCTACGCAGTTCCATCCGGAAGCTAAGGGAGGCCCGCTTGACTCCTCGTATCTGTTCGATATGTACCTGGACAACGTACAGAAATACAAAGAGAGCCAGGCAGCGTCGCAGCCTTACCGGGACAGCAAGCCAAGTCCATTATTGGTCGATCTCTTGGCCAAAGAGAGAGTGGGTGTCGATTTGACCCAGGGCATTCGAAACATGATGGCGTCAACCACCCAGGAGCTTGAGCCGGAGCGTGTGTACGCGGCTGGTGCAGCATAATGAATCAGTTGAATGGGACGATGAAATATGGCGCAAATTGGGACGAGGTACTTTTTGGGCGTAACATTTTTCAAAACATTGACATTTGATTGTATCCCAGAATGCACAATGATTGCAGAGAACGCCATGCTCCTTCGCTACTGTCTCGCCGTCATTCCACGTCGTAAATGCATAACATCGCATAATCGAATCAGGGGGAAAAGATCAGGAGGATCTTGTTCGAACTCGTGTGCCAAATTCACTTGACGAGTTCCCCCAACTACCCCCTTCATAGCGAGAACGCCGTCTCTCAAAACCCAGCTAACCTTAGACGAATTGCTCGGGTGAAGATGAACCTTCTGAGAATTGCCTGACCGAATCCGAGTCGTAAGGTGGTTGAATCATTGGACGTTCGTTGGACCTCTTCCTCCGAATTTTGGGCAGTCTGTAGAAGCCGAAGCCGTAGGTGTTTGCCCCCGTGCCATAGCCCCTCGTGACCTGTGAAGCGTCGAGCATATTTTTGATCCACGCCAGATAGTCGATTTTGTCTTCGAGGGCTCTGCTTGCGAGCCCCAGCGGGAACAGCCAAAACAGGGCCGAGTCGCGACAGCTCTTGACGGCTAGGAGCTGAAACTCGAAGGCGCGGCAGATCTCGATGGCCGGCTCGACTAGGGAGTCGACGTCGCCGGGCAGGAAGAGGGCGGAGGACGACTGCGACTGCGACTGCGACTGACGGACGGGCGAGGGCGAGTCGCAGTCGGGCGGTTTCAGCGTCCACAATAGGCCCAGGAGGAACAGGAGGATGGCGTTGTACAGGGACAGCTCCGTGGCCTTTGTAAAGGAGGAGAAAACCAGCACCTTCCTGATTGGCCGGGGCTGGGTGAGGATTTGATCGGGCGGGAGCGTTTCTGGGTCCACCTCCCACGCGACGGTCGGGTTCATTTCTTCCCACTGCCACCGCCAATTGTGAGCTCGGGCGATCTGATATTCAATGCGCTGGATGAGTTCGAGTCGAAAGTGTTCCGAGGGAGCCCGTTCCAGCTGCGCTTGGTCTTGCAGAAAACCTGGTATATGGACTAGGATGTCAACGAGGCGGTTCTGCGGGTTTTTGTTGTGCTCGCCGCACATGGCCCATGGTTCGCTCAGCCATTCTGGTTGTTCTAAAAAGCTTCGGGTCCTGGTGATCAGCGAAACAGTGACCTGCAGCCGGCGAACACATCAGCGGTCATGGTCGTCGACATCATTGAGACCCAGCCTTGCTTACCAGCGTTGCCCGGCATGATTCGAAGGCAAATCTCAAAGGACCGGCGGCGAATCTCTCTGGACCGCATATTTGAATGAGTTTCAGCAGACCTTGAATGTGGAATGCAGAAGCCTGGGGATCCGGGGTACTCGACTGTATTTGTTTTGTAAGCATGCCTGCGGGAGGTGCACACAACCCCCTGGTAAGCGAGGGTTGCAGCTAACTTACAGAGTGCATGAGAAGGATCATGATAGGTACGATCAGATTCTCGCTACCAGGCGCCCCCACATTCGACAGTCGAGATGATAGGGCTCGCACTGTCTTGTCGTAATGTATGGCGCCGCTTACTTCTATCTCAGCTTGACGATGGTGCCTCCCGAAAATGCTGAGGGAAAACGCTCGACAAGCCTCCAGCGACAAGGCATCGAGCTTTCCCTCTGCCGACATCTGGAGCCATGGAGAGCCATAGCTGCTCCACACGAAATTGTCAAAGAGATAGGAGAACTGGATATTGTCTCTGAATGCCACAAAGCTCAACTCCTGAGGTATGGAACTGAAGCTCCCCAGACTGTCATTGGACCTGAGTACGAGATTTTCGGGAACACCTCCCGTCGTTAGGGGAGGGTCTTTGCTGGTCTTTGTTGACGCTGATATCGCCGGATCTGCCCGATCTGCAAAGGTATGGAAACGCATCTCCAGCTTCCTCTCATATCCAGCGCATGCGTATCCGGCCTTTTCGCATCGCTTACAGGTCGGACGGGCTTCATCTAAGACGCCACCAGTGTCAGCCATTGGTCTAGCAAAGACGCCTCGAGTGACCACGCGACAGGGCGGGTTTTTACGTACCACACTTCACCCTCCGTTTCAAACACGTATGACAGCCCTTGCTGCGTCCAGGAACACCAACCATGTTGATGAAGACAAGTGACCATCTGCATCTCGTCCATTGATGCCCCAAAAGGGGGGACCACACTTTATATCAAACCAGATGAATAAGGAACCCCTGCGAGGTTTTGTGGGGAACTGCCACAACCGCTGGACTTGCTCATGCCCGATTCAGGGGTTCCACATTGACGAGATAAACACATATTAATACAAGGAAGATCATTCGCAGACTCGGAGACAACAGCTCTCAGCCGCAACGGGCAGCTCTAGTACCTGAAAGAGCGGACGCACAGCTTGAGTGGTTTAGAATTGCAGGCCGGAATTTCTAATTGCACTGGGGCCACCTACAAGCACGTAGCTAGGCCCAAAGTAGAGTGAGCTCAAGAATACCCAGTGCGGCGAACCGGATCAACCTCGAGCTTCGGGTGTTGTGGCTATCCCTAAGGGGTCTTGGCTCTTGGGGCGTCCCAAAGGGTTCTCATTGCGTCAGTGATTTGATTGCGCACACTTGGGGTGATGTGCGAGCTTAGCGATAATGGCTAAATGCTAGATGCTGGATTGAAGGCTGTGAGAGGTCGACGAGGTCACCGAGCTGCTGAGCTGACTCTTTACTGCCAAGTACTCTTTTGCACCACGTCTCATGATTCCGAATCAGGAAAGGCGCGCTTCTTGGCACACTCGGCGGCTGCGCCACTGTTTTTTTCAAATATCGACGACTCCAACAAACCAAGCCACGATTTTAATTTGCATTATTTGATATACAGCTTTCAGCCTTGGAGTCCTCCGGGATTCTCAGCCATCACCGAAATCAATGTAGCCCTTCTGACAAATTTGTTCGCGAAGCTGTGATGCTGCAACGCACTCCGATATCCATCAGATGAACAAGTCCTTTTTGGCCCCCATCGTGTGTAGCCGCACGCTGCTCCATAAGCGAGACAACAGGGGCTAAGAGCTACCCAACGCTCAATCATTCGCAGCGTGTTGCTGGGTAAGAGACACTCACAGAAGACCATGATCCACAATTATACGTGTTTTGGAGTTCAAAGGTACAAACTCTTCCTCCATCGCAATGATGCTAACATAACTGCTCGCTTTTCCGAATCTGCAGTTGGCAAATGGGCTTCTTTCGGCTGGTCCGACTGCACGTTTGAGCAGGGTCGCCCTACATTAGCTTTATCTGGCAAGAGCATCTTAACCAAACACGTTGAATGGTTGACCGCTAGTGTCACTGCCTGCAGGCCTGGGCGTATTAATCAAATTATCTAATACAAGGCTTGACCTTCCCAAGCTTCACCTGAGGTTCGAGTTAAGCAATCATGTTGACCTTGGCTTTGCGGAATTTGGACCCAGAAACTCATCCAAGGCAAGGAATAAACCGTTGGGACGCACAGGGTAGAAGGGAAAGAAAGCACGCCAGAAGGCCCCCAAAGCCTATTTTTTAATCGCATGCCTGGTGTACCCCAGTAGGGGACGCGACCTTTTTTCTCATCACCAAACCCGAATTTTTTTTTTCTTCTTTTTTTTGTTTTCTAGGAAAACGAAAAAAAAGATCGAAATAACCACCCCGTATTCGGGTTTGGCAATGCTAATATCCAGATCTGGTACCGCGGGCGCGATCATCCTGTCGTTGCTGTGCTGATATTATTGGCCGCCCACGCCACGACACGACACCAAGCTGAAATAATTCTGCATACTCATCATTCTGCGCCCACTCTCGTTATCGCACCCACCCGCTACTTAGCTCGCAGATCAGAAATCTCAACGACGTGTGTGTGCCGCGCCAAGGTATTTGTGCACTCGCTAGAGCATTACTTTTTCCGTCTTTTTGCGCATCCGGGATCCAAGTACCGTACCTTCAGAGGTAAACAAGGATATGTGGATGTATGGAGTACATGATAGATGGTTGATGCCGAATAGACCAACCGGAATGGTAACACCGCCAGAGTGGGACCGTGTTCAGGGAGAGAGCCTTGCTGAGGTAATGGCATCACAACGCAGGCACCACAACAGATCCCTGATGGGACATTTTAAACCCCTCACTAGACGTCTCTACCTCTCGCTTATCATCTCTAGCTGTTCAAATAATTTCCTTCTTATATAGGTCATCCTGAGTCCCCAATAGTTACATGCATAAATGGTAATCGTTGTGTCGAGCAAACAGAACTGTTTATCACAACGCAGCCAGGGTTCGCCTCAGCGAATCAACCTTGACTGTGATTGGGCGATATGAACTGTAGTACGCATATTAAGTATTCTAACACCGGGCGAGATATTTTTGGGTATCTCTCTTTCTTCGATCTTGGTTCATGAGGACCTGGATAGCGCAAGAGACTACATTGGCCCAGAAAGTACTTGTTTTCTGTGAAACTAAGACGAGGTCGTGGTTTGATTGCAAAAGTAAGTCATTCTCTCTGTCTCCCTCTGTAAGCAGAGGAGCAATTAATGCAGATTGATCCTTACAGCGCTGAAAATAACTTTCCATATGATCTGCGAGCGGCAACGAAGGGCGTGTGGCACGAGCTATAAATCCCTTGACTGTTACAAAAACTTTAGAGTCTTTGCATCGAGCATTTCTAGAGGACTTGGAGCTAGAGTCTAATTTGGTTGGTGTGCAGAGTCGACAGTATTTATTTGTATCTTCCATGACAGGGGCAATGTGACTGCCCAAAGAGTATGTCCAAGTGCGAGAGGTGGCCTAAAAGCGAGATCTAGTACCATGAAACCGGTAAGCCGCATGCAAAGACCACGAGTGAACGTAAGGGCGAACAAGGCCACAACGCTCCCAGGCCCGTCTCGACATCTTGATCTACCCCACAAGCGAGTCAAGCCTATCGGAATACATCGCTGGCCTAGCACTCAATGATGTCTTGTTCCCCACTGTTAAAGGTCGCTGATTGTTCCGGTATCGGTCGCGGTGATCTTCCTGGGCAGTCAAACCGCTGGGGGACGATTAGCTCGTCCGGGTATTTAGAGGACTCCAACGCAAGACACATGAAAGCATTCAATTTCCCCACGAACGCTTCAGTCCTAGATTGTATCGTAACTAAAGCTTCCTTTGCTCCCTTTTCCTCAGCCAGCGCGTGGGACGTTGACCAATGTCCATATTTTGTCCCTTCATGATCTTTGCGCCCACCGCGATCCTAGGATACGGTTACAATGTGGTCGAGTTTTGGCACACGATAATTGAAGACGCCCCCGAGACAATCATCGCGGATGGCGGGTCGACCGATCCTGGGCCTTACATGCTTGGAACTGGGAAGACTCTCTGCACAAACGCATCGACCACGAGGGAAATCACGCCATTTCTGGAAGCATGCGCAAATTATAAAACAAAGGTGCTGATCTCCTCTGCAGGGGCTGCTGGCAGCAACGAACAAGTGGATCAACTGCTCGGCATCATTGCGGGCATCGCTGAGCTCAACTCATGACTCTTCCGGGTGGCCAAGATCAAGTTCAAAGATGATCGTACGACTTTCTTGCACAAGTTCCGAACAGGGAAGATAAAGTCATGTTCCTCAACTCCTACGCAAAGGAGCGAGATATCGTGAACGCAATTAAGATAGTCGCCCAAATGGGTGCCGAGCCATTCTTTGAAGCCCTGAAGAACGATGACGTTGATATCATTATAGCGGGAAGATCCTACGATCCTGCCCCGTTCGCCGCATAACTGTCTGTACAAGGGAGGAGATGTGAGTCCTGCTTGACATGTTGGCAAGATTATCGAGTGTGGAGGGCAATTCTCGACGCCGAAGGGACGCTCAATCGTGGCGACAATGCTTAAAGACTCTTTCGCCCTTACTCCTACTGATCCAATCCGCCGCTGTACTCCCGTATCCGTCTGCCCATAGTATGTACGAGAAGACGCGACCGGATCAGCTACCTGGACCTGGTGGAGTCCTCCATCTCGACAAGTGCACCTACACTCCTCAAGGAGACGACCGAAGCATCCTGGTCAAAGGTTCTCGGTTTGTTCCCACTCCTGAATATGAAATTAAACTTGAAGGGGTTGAGCACCTTGGCTACCGGCCAACTTTTATTGCCGGGATTAGAGACCCTATCCTCATCGTCGGTATCGAGAAATTTCTAGAGACAGTCAGAAGGTCCACCAGCGAGCAATTCTCAGAGCTTGGCACCGAGAGGGGCCGGTAGCTGATTTTTCACCTCTACGGCAAGAATGCTGTCATGGGTGGATTGGAACCGGATACGAGCACTCCCCACGAGATTGGAATCGTGGGGAAGGCAGTAGGCCAGTCTCAAAAGGTGGCAGATGCCATTGCAGGCTTCTCAAGAACCGCCCTTTTACATGGGCTTATGACGGGCAGATGGCAACCGCAGGCAACATAGCCTCGCCCTTGACCCCACTGGAGTCGCCCTTAGGACCCGTCTTCAAGTTCAGTATCTACCATCTCATGCAGGTTGACGATCCTACTGATCTGTTTCCCAGATCCACAACCACCTTGGGCAACAAGACGAAGGGGACAGAGCGTATCGTCACGCAACGGAAGTTGCCTCAGCTTCACAAAATTGTCCAGCAAAATAGCCAGAGCTCCACAAAGTCCACGGTCCCGGGGCAGCGGAGGAGAACTGCTAACCGAGGGAAGACTACGATCCGGAACGTGGCCTACGTGGCCCGCTCCCAGAATTCTGGACCGTTCGAGGTAACACTGGATATCTTGTTCTTAAGCCGTGCCGACTTTGATCGTGCCAGGGAGTCCGAGGTTCTTACCCCAGAGCTCATCCAGAATATTTACCATCTGAAATCCGCCGAAGAGATCATTGCCTGCATGTTCTTTGAGCCAGCATTAGCCTGGAAGTGTACATTCAAAAGGCCATGGCCACAGGGTAGTATGGGAGAGCGGGACACGTTCGGGGCCCAGTTGCACGCTCCGATGCTGGATGTAGAGATTCCCGCTCATGGACAACGTTTCAAAACTTTAGTTATTTCTTTGATCTTCACCGGAGTAAAAATCTGAAATGCATTTCCAACTTCAGGACATTTCCATAGTTTCTGATATAAGTCGCCCACAATTCCGTTTGGCGTGACAGAAAACAGGGCGCGTCTGCCTTGATTTCAACGATTCTTCCACATCAATGGGAGTAACCTGTCTCTACCTATCACGGTGATCCTGTTTAAAATGGAAAATAAAATTCCAAAAAAAGGAGGGGGGAACACAACGAAGTGCTGGAAGCATTATCAGTCTGAGCAGGCTCTTAAAATATTGCTTTTGCAGTGACACTACTGAGCCTGCAGTCTCCTATCGTGCTATAATACCAATCATCCGTCATGAGAATACAAACCCTCTGGTCTCTTTATCTGCTTCTAAGTTCCAAATTATCTGTATGGTGGCCTCAAAGAGACCTAAGTCCTGAACATGGCCATATCGGACAAGCGAAAATGCCTTGCCTTCAATCTCACTCCTGGAAAAGGCTCTCAGCATTACAGCGAAGAATGCGAACAAGACTAGAGACTCACTTTGTCAAGGTCCAGCCCGGATCTCCTTTGACTACATCCACATTCTTGTTCACTGTGCGCCCTTCTTTTGTGGAGACAGTCACCCTCCCCAGCCATTTGGCAGGGAACACTGCGTCAGTTTTCGGGTCTAGGACCATGGTAACTCTCTTCCACATGGTCCGTAGCTCGGAGTCTGAGAGTGCATCCTCGGTGAAATTTCTTATCTTAGCTGGGCCGTTCTTTGCGGCGACAGCCAGAACAAACTCCGTGGAGAACTTGCTTTGATAGACGGTCTCCGCCGAGGCGCTCAGGCTCAAGACTTTAATCGCTGCCTTGTAGGTGTACGCCGTGGTTGACTCGATATCGTCGAATTTGATCTTCTCTTCTTCCATCAGTGCAATCAATGCATCCACGGACGGATGGGTATCGCGACACGATGCGTGCCATTTGAAACTCGACTCGAGCACGGACCATTCTGCTCCAAGCTGAGCATCAATGAAAGAGGATTCCGGATCTACAGATGCTAGTGTTGCTGCCATGCCTCGCCGACCTTCAAGGATGTCGTGAGGCCCAAGAAGACCGGAGCGCAACGCATAAGCGGAGAACACACCTCCGGTACAGGCTTGCGCTGTATGCACCTGCTTGGAATGTGTTGCATCCAGAAGGAATCGCCAAAGTCCGCTGTGGCAGCTCGAGGGAAATGGCGAAAAGGGTTAAGAGTTAGAACAAGATCTCTTTGTGGACAAATTCATTCAACTCCTGGACCTCGTCCTTGAACGGGGGTGAAAATCGAAGGGTGTTCGCACAAAGTCAGATCTCGATTCCAGTTGTATTGTTCAATCTGGTCCTTGACGCCTTGGTCGATTTGCCTGTAGTTGCGGAGTTTGAAATCTTGGTAGCTGCCCTCTTGTTTCATCCTGCCTTCCAGGCGCTGCTTCTCTTCCAATGGGGCCTTAGTGAGCACATGATAGCCAATATCTACTTGTCGATCGATCTGCTCGATAGAGATGCCATGGTTGACCACAACAAAGAAGCCTTGTGTTCGCATGGCTTGCTTCAGCTCGTCGGCCAGCTTTTTGCGGGCGTCGGGCCCATTGTCGTATGTGGAAAGGTCTAACGTGACCAGCTCAGCGTATTCCAATGGCTCAGATGTCGGGTTGACCGGAACAAAGTGTTCAATCTCGGGCTTGGTGACGGTAGACGGCATGTTGCTGATTGACGTTGCCTGGAGAGGGTGGCAATGGATAATCAGAAGAGGCGAGAGGCCTACGCGATATTTGCCTCAGAGATGTGCTCGTCTGGACGCATCTCGGCTGTGGCATCCGGGCCTGCTTCTTATGTGTGTCGACCTACCCAGTACGTTGATGACATCGTGCCGACTCCGTGCATCGCTCCGAGATGTGGGGTAGACATTGGGGGCGCCGGAATATGCGAGATCGGCTACTGCGCGGAGGACGAGCAGAAGCAGCCCAGCGCAACGGATCAACGGCGAGGAATGGAAAGTCTTGTACCTGGGCTTTTCCTTGCGCCCGACTCGCCCGCTAGGTCAAGAACGAACTCGACCGAGTCTTCTGTTGAGAAAGGCGGCGGTCACGTGGGGTGTAGGTCAGCCTCCACACGTCGGTCGCAGCAATATAGCTCGGTGCAGCCAAAAATTTCCGGACTTGCTCGACATCCAGAGTGGCCGAACAGGCTACACTTAGAGCTCTTGACAGAATCGAATTGGGCGGATTTCCTTCCATCGTTGAAGCGATATGAATTGAAGTATAGGGGACTATCTAAAAGAGAGTTGCGACGAACCTGCGGTAGATGGATAGGTAGGCGGGGTAACACTAGTCCTAATCAGGCATTTGAGTAGTTGTGCTCAGGCGAAGCTACTAAGGTAATACCGTGACACTGTTATATTAATCGTAGGAGGAAACGCAGAGGAGCTCACTCTTCTTGCAAAGACTGTAGCGGTATGCGTAGCTCTTTCTCTATATCCCTGTCTGAGAAGGATCTAAAATACAGCGAGGACATTGATGAGAAAAGAAAAAAAAAAAATAGAGACACCGAAATTTTCTCCAGCAGCAGTGAGCATAAAACTGTTGACGTGTTTATAGCCCTTGTTGGTATATTCAATACCTTTCAGTTTTACTTTCAAAGGTTCTAACGGACAGGAAGCCACCTTGCACTGTGATTGATGGCTTCACCGGCAAATCTTTCCATTTTGATCAGACCCATCACTGGCCAATTGAACAAGCTGGTGGGTTGATTCAAGGTGGGCAACATAAGATGACACCTATACCGCGAGGCGATCAATAATATCCTGGTATGATGTTGAAGGCAGCGGTCAGTCTTGGTGATGCACTTCATGCTCATGGCCAAGCATCAGGATTATTGGCGAATCGCTTCGTTCCCTTTGTTGATGACCATGGCACAAGAGGATAAATCACATTGTGGCCAAGCGTGCTTGTGGTACAAAAGGCAAATGCTAGCCCATGCGAGGAGCAAATACGTAATTCTGCGAGGGATCTGGTAACTGGAGGCTGGGTCATGAAGCAAGGGCAACGGAAAACACAAGCCATATCCAAGCGTTATACCAAATCAGCCGACATCCCAATGGAAATCGAGCGAGATTGAGACGAAGTGGCACAACTAGTGTGAGTTGTAGGATACTGATCTCTCGTTGAAAACTCATGGTTTATACCATCTGTGTGCTGTTCGTTGTATTAGAGGTACTTCTTACTCTTTCGCCCGGACCTGACGAGAATCTTTGGTCCTCAGAGGCAAACAGATTCGGCAACAGCCAGGAAGGGAGCAGAGGATCCCGCGTACTAATGTCGCAGGCAATACATATGCGTGCAAGGTAGCTCCCCATTTTTCAATGCCGAAAATCTTGGACCTCTTTCAAAATCTTGAAGAGCACAAGAGAGGAATATAAGCATCTCCATTGACGTCCAAGGATGGTTTGGTGGAGGAGGCTTGGCAAAGTTAAAGACTAAACCAGTTCTTGAGGTCTCTTCACAGCAGAGTTGACCCCTCTGGATCGATAATCGGGAGGGTGACTTTGAACTTATTGATGGAGTCCTTTTCGAGATTTGATTGGTGGTTCGGTGTTATCTCAGGGAGAGGTACAGCGGTCAATCACAAGATGGAACGGCAGAACACACATCGACAGATCGACCCATGATCTCCAGAACGCTTTGTTCTCGTCGCAAGGACTGACCATGGATTTATCTGACCGTCGAGTCATGCTTCGAATGTGAAGTCAAGTTGTTCAGTCTTTGCGGGACGGTCCAGTAATTGGCTGCGCACGCGACACACCATCCAGTCTTCGTGGTTGAACTTTCACCGCCCAATGGCAAGTTGAATGTCGGCTCCAGAACGCACCGGGCAGACCCCTGTTTTCCTTCTGCCTGAATTCTCCGCAAATGAGCCTCGTTTTGCGTCGCAATTGACTCAGTGGGTGCGTGAACGGCTGGCAAGATGTTTCTTCGGCTCCAAGTAGCGCTGATTTAATCGATACATCGTTGAGCACGGCGGGTGAATTACCCGCATGGCCCGACCCAATGAGATTGAAACGCATCGGCCCAACTTGGAGCAGCCCACTTGCACAACTTAAGGCTCCATGGGCTGTACTTGTAGTGTGACATGAATCGCTGCGACAAGGACGACGGAAGATGGATGCTCCGGGAATGTTCACATGGTAGTGCTCCTCCTCACCCCAATCCTCCTGAAGTTGCTTACTGCGTCTAGCTTGTTGCGAAGTAGATGCGTCACCATCCGTGCGGGGGAGGAAGGCGAAACACTCACAGTCCACGAGGCTGTTTTGTCTAAATCTGGCTCGGCATCCCGTGAGAAATTGGTGCAGCCCGGCTGGAGGGAGTCGTGTGAAGGTTGCATTGATTGGACCCACACAAGCTCACAGACCGTCGAACGAGTCCTGGCCTACCTGTACTTCCGAGACTACGAAAGCCCAGATCCAGTCCGGCGACAAACTCGAAGCCAGTCGAGGGGAGCGACTAGCGTCAGGCAAAGATCTAAAGCAAGAGACGACACTCAATCTGATGCAGCTGCGGACGAAGAGGTCCAGGACACACCAGACGTCGATGCAGTCGAAGATGTCGTGATAGATGATAATGCGCCCTTTGGTTGGGTCGTCGAGGCTGCACCAGAGGCTGCAGAGTCCGTACCCGCAGAAAATGATCACCTAGAGGCTGAAGACCCAGGTCTCCAAACCGCAATTCTCGAGTCATGCGCCATACGGCCGCTGACGCCGCTCGGTAGGTGTGTTGGGCTTGCACCCATTATGGCCTCACGTAAAACCGCCGGTGGAGCCTTTGAAGAGCAAGACTTTCCCTACGAAACCTACTCCTACCGAGAGCCACTGCTTGCCCATGTGGAGGTTTATAGTTTCGCAAAATATCATCTGTTACCTGGACTACAGGATTTGGCTCTGCAGCGGATGATAGTAACGTTAAGGAAAGTGGACTGCTCGACAAAATATGCAGAGGTAGAGATAGCGGACCTCATCGAATTCATCTACGCCAACATTCCCGTCAATGGAGATGGCGAAGAACCGATGAGGAAGCTTTTGTCTCAATTTGCAGCGGCGAATTATACCTCTCTTCTGCATGGCAGCTTCGAGGCGCTTTTCGCTCGCGGTGGTGATTTCGCGCTCGATCTGGCGCGAAAACTCTCACGACGCCTTTCGGCGCATGGAATTTCGGCCGAGTTGGGAGAAGATGAATTGGAAAGTCGGATACATGGTCTTGAGCTTCAAATACAAGAGCGAGAAGAGACGATCAATTCGCTGAAGGCCAGCTTGAGCGATTCGTTGGCTTGGGGTCGTGGGATCAACCGTAAAGGACGGCGAAGATAAGGGTTTGCTGACATTGCTCGAGACACTGGTCGTGCAGTCGGACTTGGCTTGCGATCGCCGCCTGAGATTGTGCCGCTTAATCAACCCACAATACTTGTTCGAGAAAACATGAGTTCACTCTGTCACCGACAATGTCAAACAGGTGAACAAGTTATTGAACCCATGTGGCCCCACAGCAAAGGGGGAGAAACGGGGTCTTGGGCTACCCCGAAGGCTGACTCCGTACTTGATGATTCCGATAGCCCTGCTGGATGGAGATTGGAGGCGGCCAATTTTCAACACAGCATCGTCTCTCGCGTAGTTCAATACTGTTGACGAGATGGTGTTGCAAGACTACCTCGATGATGCACGTTGCCAAACATGGAAAATATTGGTGCCCACGTTAATTGTTGTCTATGGTGTACAATTCTGTAACGTGGTTGGGAACAACCTAGACATACCCTTACTGGGAGTTGACCGACAGCAGGGCCGAGAAGATTCTATGGATTCCTTCGGTTCGCGGATTGTTTCATCCGATAGCGGTGACAAGGATGACAAGGTCTGAGTAGTCGCGAAATTCTCGAGTGTTAGACGAAGCATCTCAGGCACCGGACCAACAATTGTTGTGGAATAATGTTCTCTCCAGGCACCAAGACAGGACGTGGCTCTCGTATCGAACATTGTGAGGCAATCTGTCAAATATCTCCCAATGCAAGCACCTGCTTTGTTTCCGCAGCGTCATGTTTCTGTGCCTGTGCCCGAATCCTGTTTTTGAACGCAAGGAGGAATGATTTAGGCCACCACATCTGGGTCCGGTTTATAAGGTACCGAGTACAATTGAGCCGATCGAGGTAATCGGACACACATCCCGGGCATCCATTGGGTGTTGAGGTGATTAGCGATACCAAGGCCGGGTGACAGATCCAGCCGAGCAGATGTAGCTTCTTGAGGTTAGGCCGAGCTGCAAGAATCTGATTTTTACGTACAAATCATGAACAGCCGCATGTGATAACAGCGAGGCATTGGAGAAGGACGGAGGTTTGAATTTTCGACAGTAGGGATGCGACTGGCACGGGCGGTGGTTTTCCAGACTCGAGATTGGGAGCATGCAGCGTGTCTCGGTAAAGCAAGGGGAGATGCAAGGAAAAGGCTGGATATACCCGGTACCTCGTAGTGGTGAACTGGCAAGCCGGGAAGGAAGCGAAGGAGAGGAGCAGAGCTGAAGGTGGGCGTCTCGGTGTCTCTCCCGTCTTTTCCTTTGTTTGCGCCAAGTTTGCTGGGTTTGTAGAGTTTGCAGTGACGGCGAGCGGATTCCGCTAGTTGGCGCTAGATGACACGATTTACGCTAGTGCCAGCTAGTGCCGCGAGCTCACTACCCAGCGCCAGTAATGACAGCGTTGACCCGACCCCAGCTCGCCTCAAGCTGCACGTCAACACCAACACTATCAATGCAAGCCACTTGAGCCACTTGACACCCCAAGATCCATCCCTTGCATCGTGTTCGCAGTCTATGGTACCAGGTATGTCACTACACCATCCTCCTGCTCCGGATCCACTTTGCCGTCATCTTTGGGAGACTGTCCATTGGCTGCCGCAAATGCATCTGGACTCGCTTTGGCCGCCCATAGCTGAATCTGGCGCGGCCATCACTTGGATTCATTGGTTCCTTCAACCACAAAGAGACTCAGGACACCAAACAGGGCTTCTCTCATTCATCCAGCTGCAGACATCTCAAGTCATGCCCTTCAAACCCAGGCCCTCGCGGGAGTCTGGCCGGCTGCCTTGTCTCCCTTACCAGAAATCACCTTTGACAATGGCGCCCGGTTATACACCGCTCGAACCCCTGGAATGTTCCCTTCCGTTCTTCCTCCCCGCCACAGATGCTTTGACTCGAGGTGCATTGATCTAGTTTCCTGCCTCTCCACGAAGTCAGTCTTTCGCTACTAATCCTGAATCTATCTCTCTTGTTCTGGGTGCTTTAAGGTCAACACGTCCTGGATATCCATTTGCCCACGTGTTGCCTATTGCTCCAAGCAAGGCTGCATATCCTAGGCGTGCAAGGGATTGAGTCCACAACAGAAAATCCGGAACCAACAATGACAATGCCACACTTTGATGGCCCTGAAAGTGCGCCTCTCCGGGCTGGCGATTCCGCCACCAGTTTTCGAGAGCTTCCCAAAATTACTGCTAGGAGCATTCGAGCCGAAGGGCATCCTCACAGCGATCCCTGTCCCAGCCCAGTTGTTCCGATGAGGATTGATTCAATTTCGCGAGCTCGTATGCCGCAATTTCGTCAGTCGAGGAGATGGGCGAGGATATATGGTTGGACACCTCCCACAGAAACTGACTCTCCTCCGCGTCCCCTTGACCTCAGGGATCTCGCTCCGAGCCGGAACCCATATGCTACCGTCCTGGGACGCGATCAACGCACCGGACGCGGGGTTTCTTTGCAACCATATTGTGGTCTTCCCAGGGGGATAAAAAAAACTCTTGGACGTCCAAAAGTTCAGAGGACTATCCGCGAGGCCAACTCTGATTCCTGTCATACCGGTCTCTGCAGACATGGCGCTGCTTATTACTGGCGCTGCGTCAAACCTCTCATCGGCATGGTTCCTCGCGCAGGCTTGACCCTGTGGCCACGCAGACTGTCTCGAAGCCGAAAAGCAGCAATAACAAGACGTCCCGAGCCTATAAGCCACCAGGTGTCAGCTGTGATTTCTGTTCCCGCTGTATCACGGAGAGAAAGCAACATGAAAGCCCTTGATCACATAAACTGTCTTGAAAACCCCGACTTACCCCCTACACAGAGAGGTCACTTGTCGTGTTTTCACAGAGACAGCTACACAGGTAATGAACCTGGTGTGGGTCCATGGCCGGCAACGTCGTCAATACCTTCACTTCACGACCCCATTAAGGGAAACAGGTTTTCAGACGAATTCAGAGATATTCTGGAAAACTTTACCTTTGACAACGATCTTTTTCATCCCAGTACTCCTACGATGTCCGCAGCCGTAGTGCGACCATCCGCAATAAAAGATACCTCCCTCGAGTCTACCCAAGCTTGGGGAGAAGCTATCCGCATGCAAACGTGGGTTGAGGCTACTTCTCCGCCTCTACCACCATCACAAGGGGTGGAAGCCAAGACAACTCTTCTGCGCAACACCTCCACAACGGATCTCTCAGCTCATCCGCCTCAACGTCTAGAGTTTGCCGGTCGAGCTTCGGAAAAGACACAAACCAACCCGGCCAGTATGGTACACGCTACACAGGCCGAGTCACTGACGATCATTTCATCTCCTACCGTGGTTCCTGGATCAAATTCAGGACTGCAGTTGGCGAACGCAAGCTCCAGCCCGCAATTAAGGCTCACAAGACCTGTCATGCGTCTCTCTTCAGCACGTTCGGTGATGAGCGCAGATACTATAGTTGCAATTGAAGCACAAGTCCAAAATATATTACGCTACAGCATCGACGTGGACATTGAGGAATATGAGTCTACCCATCCTGGCAATCAGCACAGCGGCCCTCCTCCCAACATACCGCTGCCTGCATTGCCACACGAAGCACAACACGTACAAGGTGATGTGACCAAACGCCCCGAGAGTCAGGCAAGTTTGGACAGCGATCTTGAAGAGAGCCCACAGAGTTGTCTTAACAGTGTGCGACATACCATTCGAAGCACTCGCGCTGACAAAGTGCGGGAACGGAGGATGCGCGATCTCGCCAAGTTGCGCAGTCAGTCACAAAACCCTGATGCCCTTGCATCGAGCGAGATTAGTAAGAAGTCCACCGACTCTAAAAACCCACAGAAATTGACATGCGATGTTGATGAGCTTGATCAATTTCCCGCTGTCCCAGACTCCCAACCAACGATTCTTTGCAGCATGCCTGCGTCCTGTCCTAGTTGCCAGCACTGCCAAGGGAAAATGACTCTCGAACACCGCCAAATGTCCAAGGCTCGTTCAGACGAAAACCAGGGGAGTACGTCACCGCAAACACTTAGTCAGAGCAATATATTCGTGGTCGTCGACGCTGATCCCATCACGGCGCGTTTTAGAGCAGGCGCCACGAGTCCGAGATTGAGCATTGGAGGCAGTGCCACCGGATTGCGAAGTCCAAAGCCTACACGGACTTCTTCAAAACTCAAAGAGGTCATGGCCAATAGGTTGAGTCTGAGCGAGGGTCCGGGACGAGAAACGGTTCTTGGCAGTCCCATGGAAAGCCCAACAAGGAAAACCCGAGGCAGGGGTCCGACAGGGGAGCAAGCCCTCAGACCTCGTCGATCAAGTTCTTGCTTAGGCATCCACAGTAGCCGGCCTGGAAGAGTTGAGAGCCGATCCAGAAGCAGTTCCAGTGACGTTCACTCACAAACCTCCTGTAATACAAATTCGCCAAATAAATCAACCAGCCGGATGAGAAAACGGCAACGTTGGAACAGCGGCAATTTCAGCCTCGTCACAAAACTGCAACAAGATTTACGCGACTACTATGCTACTATTTTGAAACAGGAGGAGAAGATTAGGTTGCAGGCCGATCAGATTCAGATGATCATGAAGATATTCGCGCCAATGAACCTACACCAGCAGCCGGAAGAGCTTAAAATTCTTCAGGATTTTCCTGGTCAATCATCAATCGGTAGAGAGGCGAACCGAAACAAGAGACAGGCAACAAGATCTTGGAGCGGGCACACCGACAAGCGATCGCCGAGTTCTAGTTTTCGCTTTCCGCTGGATAGCATCAAGGTGCAAACTCTCAACCGCCAAGGCCATAGCACATCGAACGAAGCCGACACTACCAGCGCGGGCTCCGCCTCCGCAGCAACGTCAACGAAGTCGGGGGCAGCTGTTATTGATGATGCGTAATGGAGTGAGTCGGTAATACCCGGTACCCGCCGGCAGACAAACACGGGGGCAACGTATATAGAACTAATGGCGACGTCGGCAGTGGAGTTGCGGAAATGTACATAGAACAATAGTTGTTATGGCATAGCACAATGACGAGTGACGATCACAAAACGGATTTCATATACGAAAATACCGCTCAAGCGGGGCGGAGACCACTGGGGGCCGAAGAATTTGAGGAATACTTAGACTCAGCAGGGCCCCAAAATCGCAGCGCACACTTAGATTCATAGAGTTGGCCGTCTATTCGTCTCAAAAGTCTTATCCACAGAAATTCGATGCATAGAACTAATGAATCAAGCATCAAAAGGGGGATAGAATGTTCTGGGAGAGTCAGGTAGTGTTCACGTGTCAGGCTGGCGCCAAGCAAAGCAAGGCTGTGGCAAAAAGCTGACCCTATGCCTGAGCATCGTTTGATCTGTTCATCCATCTTTTACAACCAAAGATAGAACATTCCTCTGCGATACCAATACTGACCAAAGGGCGACAAACATTGAGCAACACGTCGAACATGGCCAGCGCCACCCACATACCGCTCACATCCCTCCCTTTTCCACCGATCACCCCAGCCCACATCCTTAACTGCTCCTTCCATTCATGGCATCCCCGTTTCCGCCCCCTGACCCCCAAGGCCCGTCTTATCCCCCTCTCCCAACCATTTCTAGACTATCTCCGCGCCGACGGGATAATGCTGCCCCCTGAAAACAGGCCCAACGACGCTGACAGTGGCTTCGAAGACGGATTTCAGAACGATGAAGACGAGGAGAACGAAGATCCCTCGGAACAGTGGGCCGACATCCATGACAAGATACGCTCCACGATTGCCGAACTGGGGGGCAAAGTCATTCCGAAACTGAACTGGTCGGCGCCCAAGGATGCCACTTGGATCGCGACCACGAATGACATGGAATGTCGAACGCCAAACGATGTGTATCTGCTGTTAAAGTCAAGCGACTTCATCACGCATGACTTGGAGCATGCCTTTGATGGATGCACAATCTCGGACGACGCTGGGAACGGCGACCAAGCCGAGGCTGATGTCCGCGCCAATAGCAATGAGATGGTGTTCCCTGAAGTGCCCTACCATCTTGTACTACGAAAGGCATTCAATTTGAACCCCGCGCTTGAATTTCGATGCTTCGTCCGCCAACGAAAACTCATCGCGATCAGCCAGAGGGAAATGAATTACTTTGAATTCCTCTTCGACCTGCGAGATCGCTTTAAAAAATTGATCCAGGAGTTTTTAGACCAGCACTTGCTACCTGATAACAGTGAAAAGGGAGGAAAGGGCTTCCCGGACGAAAACTTTGTCGTGGATGTCTACATCCCCCCACCTCACGACCGCGTGTGGTTAATCGACATAAATCCTTGGGCACCGCGGACGGATCCGTTACTCTTCTCTTGGCTCGAATTATTGCAATTGCCACTCCCAGAAGCACCGGGGCCGCGTTCGGAGATCAGATTACGGCTAGACAACGCACGACTGGAAGGAGGAAGGGATGACGGAGACGAGGAAGAAGAGGAAGACGAGGAAGAGGACGATGTGATCTTTGATCCGGAGTTCCGACTCGTGAGACGAGACGACCCGGAGGCCTATCAATTCACGGCGACGAAGTACTCGGCGCATAAACTGCCAAAGGAAGTCGTGGATGCGAGCATGGCGCCGGGTGACATGAAGAACATGATGGAAGAGTGGAGGAAAGTCATTGATAAGCAAGTGCAGGAGGATGAGGATGAGGACGAGGAGCAGGGACATACTTGAACGTCTTCCACCGAGACATCAGGAGCAGGGAAGATACTTTTCTTTCCGACCCATGCGGTGCCGCATCTCTTCGCCGCAAAGGCGGATGGTCGATGCCACAGATGGACCGCTACAATGCACAACTATTGTCCACTGTGGAGATGTAGAACGGGTCTGGTGAATCTACCCTTCGAGCCGAGAGGAAAATTAAATGACAGTCCGACGGTACTCCCCACGACGAAGAGAGTGCTGAACGAAGATCAAGTGGCCGCTGGCCCGAACAGAGTTAACTATTCCTGCAACCGGAACGCAGAGCGTTACCTTAGGCCGAGCCTTCGCTGGAGATGAAGGCTGCTATCACCGTAATAACAGCCACTTCTCACTTTGCAGCTGAGGAAGACAATTGATGTGCTAGACTATGCCAGCCCCGACGATATATCGGTTCGTCGTTCCGCTACTCGGCGAGCCAAGGCTGAAAGCGTATGGAAGGGATAAGACATGTTAATCCTGAGCTGTTCAACGGTGCATAGCTAAATTCCTATCTGGAAAAGGTTCATCTTCAGCCAACCACCTACCAGCATATCCTTACCTCGACACTGCTCGCCTAAAACTCTGTTTTCTAGCTGGCACTCCTGTCCATGAACTTTCAAGTCCGGAGGAAAGGGGTCTGACTGAACCTCGCACCCCGTGGTGTTATAAGGCTGGTCTCAAAACTTAATCTGTGACTTTGTCGTCAAACCCTCAGTTGTCACTGTCCTGTGTCCGGAAATATAACTGAAATCGAGGAGAGGATTATGGAGCTACCCACGAATCCATCCGGCATCATTGACCCGGAGGCTGTCACTACAGCTCCCGCGGAGTTGCCGTCCGTTCAAACACCACCGTCATCAATGGCCGATTTTTCGTGTATATGTTTTGGATATGGCTCTAATCTGTCGCCACGGACGATGAAGCAACGATGTCCCGACTCCCTCTTCATAGGGCTCGCCGAACTGAAGGACTGGAAATGGATCATCAACGAAACCGGATATGCAAACATAACACCGTCTCCGGGAGACGTCGTGTATGGAAGTCTATGCTTCCTCAGCAAGAGAGATGAGATAGCACTAGATGAAAGCGAGGGGGTGCCCTGGTTGTACGAAAAATTGACACTGGTTGTGCGACGGCTTCTAAATGATGTTGAAAAGTCTTCTGACTGGGCGGCCGGTGAAGAAATACAAGTCCAAGCCGCGACCTATGTGGATGTACAGCGGACGACGGTCGGCAAGATTGAACGCGAGTACGTTGTCTGGGTCAAGTAGGCGATTGAGGATGGACACACCCTGGGAATGCCCTCCGAATGCACTGAAAAGTTCCAGAAGCCTTTCCTGCCAACAGAAGAGAGGCCACTGGAAGATATTGTGATGGTGAGGACCACCAAGTTTGGAGAGCACAGCGCTGGGCTTGTGCCTCGAGGATTTGCAAGCCGGTCGAGGGGATGATGAGATGAGCAAGGATGAGAGAGAATGGAAGCCTTGGGGGAGGTGGAGGTGGAGATGAAGGTGATGGGCAGTGGTGACGAGGCTGTTATCGATACTCGGCATGCGCTAACCAGATATGGGAAATTACCAACAACGCGCAGCTTGGACTTGAGAACTCAATGATTTCAACACGTCATCTTGCCCTGACAGAACACTCCTCTATACATGTCGGGACGCTGCAACAACTTCACTTCATCCCTGCAGATCCATCCACTAGTATGCCCAGCGACGACACCATTCTGGAGGGGCCAGTAACCCCAGCACCATTATTCGCCTATCGCGCAATTCGAGGCATCTTCTTTGCCTCGCCTGAATCCTCGCCCGACCATGACAACAAGGAAAACCTTGTGCCTACATACCCCTCGCCGTCGAAGCGAAAGCCCGTGACAGGAATCTCCCTTCAACTGTCACCCTCACAGAAGCGCAAGAGGGACAGCAGTACTGGCGGAGGGACCATCCTTTCCCCTACGAAGGGCATACTCCGTACGCCGGGCCTGGCGACACCCAGAGCAAAATATCTGAAGGATGTTAACGTCAAATTCAAAAGCGTCAGCCCCGAGGCCCCAAAGTTTGTTGGTTGTCCTGCTTCTCCAGGCCAGCCACAGACAAGAGCTCAGGATGCGTCACCAGTCGTTCGGCCTTCAAAACCCATCCACATTCTGGCATCACCTACAGAAGCAACCTCGTCTTCCGTGGTATTGCAGAAGCCATTACAGAATGAAGAGCCGGTAGTCAACACTTCAACCGAATCTGCACCTCCAACGTCGCCATGCATGCTCTCCCGAACTGCAATAGAGGCCTACATGGCCCAAACAGAAAAGGAAATGAAGAAACTGGTCCGCTATGGGCAGAAGATGCGCGAGTACGCGCGCAAAAAGGACGCCGAGAACCAGGAACTAAAAAGCATGATTGAACAACTCCGGAGGGAGAATGAGAGGCTCAAAAGAGACACAGACCCTTCTGCTGAAAGCCATACAAATACCGGCGGTATTCCACTGATTGGAAAAGAGCTGAAGAACAACAAAGAAGAGAAGCGTGTCACCGCTGATATGCTAGGGGCGAGTGCATCGCCTGCGCTAAGGAACAAACGTCGAGGCTACGTCCGGGAGGAAGTCGATAGGGTCGAAACGACAGTGCGAAGCCAGACGTTCGGAGAGTCGAAGGCTCAGAGGCACGTTAGCTCGTCGAGTACTGGAACGGCCGAACGAAGCACCGCGGGCAGCTGCGAACCCTCGAGACCTTCTGGTAGTTCGTGCAGTGATATACCCCCCGACCATTCACCCACGATTAGGCGATCAACATCATCATCCCAGCCAAAATCTTCATCTTCAACGCCGCTCATTGCACTTCCTATAAATCCACCTCTGCCTGCGGATGTAGACCTTCCGGGAACAACAACATCCACCCGCTCCACTTCAGCCAACATCACCGTCGCCGCCAAGTCCGGCACCATAAGCCTTCCGCCCGATCGCCTTGCAGCTGCTCGCGACAGATTACGCCGACGCGCCGAGCGGAGGAAAGCAAGTATTCCGCTACAGATCGACTCGGCTCTCGACAAGCAGGGGAGTAGGCAACCTGTAGATCTGGATCAGGCGCAGCCACTCCAGAGGACAGGTCGGGAGTGGAAGCAGGAGCAGGAACTTGTCAAGGAACCAGAAGACCCGAGCGAGGTCGACTGGGCGAATCTCTAACTTTCCTCGTTAACCCTCCACTCACATACCGTACCAGGCACGGCATGGTCGGCGGTTGTTGGTCCCATGTAATGAAAATGAACGGGGTACATGATTTGGAGAGAATGGGAGACACAGGGAAGCAGACAAGCCGCTTGAGCAGAGAGTGCGCGAAAGGGATTCCCGATCAGATGGTCGTTGTCACATCGGTCCACGTACGCGGAGCCGAGCGGGTAGACTACTGAACACTGCAAGTTCGACTCCAAAAGGCACGGGACATGAGGACGGCGCACAAGACCATGTTGCTTGCTTTCTTCGTCGCTAATTTGCCATATCCAGATAGATGAGTGGCCCGGTTTCGCAGTCCTTTGGCCTGTAACCGATCTCATTCATCAGTCCTTCCTCCATCATCGAAACCGAAAGTCTATATGGTATCATATCACATTTTTGCATAAAGCCCAGCCAGCCTTATTTTTTGTGCATCGTGTCTATAACCCTAAAAAGGACAAGCTCGAGTGGAAGTAGGTGGTACTTCAGTCCAGTCTCTCAGCAGCGACTGCTGCGACGCCCTCTGTTTGCGTGCCTTGGGCCCGACTCAGGCCAGGATATTTAGACTGCTCGCGCTGGAACTGCTGCCCGCGTTCCTCCTGTGCCTTCGCCGCGGCTTTGCGCTTCTTCTCCGCCTCTTCCTTCTCGCGCATCTTGATCGAGGAGTAATTGAGGGCCGATATTATCATGACTGGAAAGAGCACCATTGTGAGCGAAACCGTTCGAACAGCGGGTGAGTTGGGGGGGGGGGGGGGGGGGGGGGGGGGAGTTAGGAGTCGCAACTTACAAGCACAGAACCCGATCGCCAGCGCCGCGCGACGGGTCAACACCCACCGCAACCCCTCGACCTCGCTCCTTGCCTCGCTGTTCAGAAGGACCGTGATTTCATAGTTCAGTTCCGAAATCTTGCTATCGATCTTGCGCTTGTCCTCCTGCAAGCCCAGTTTGCGATCATTGAATAGCCCCTTCAATTCTTCCTTGAGCGTCATCAGATCTTGCGTCACTTTCTGATTCAAGATGTCATACTCGTGCTGCAACTGTGCCCGTTGGCTGCGCTGCTTGAGCGTCTCGGAATGTCGTGTAGTTTGCAGCGTGGTTTTCAACTCGGAGCAAGCGGCGCGGAATAGATAGGATTCGTTTTCAATGTCAGACTTGGAAACAAGGCCTTCCTTGGCAACGTCGAGATTGAGTGAGAGCATGAGGCGGATGGCCTTCATCAGTGTGATGGCCTGGTCGACGGTGTAGGCGTCTTTGGCCGCTAATTGTTGCACAAGCGAGTAAGTGTCGAAATGATGCTCGTATGGAGAAGGCTCGAGATGTGGGTGCTTGGGCGCGTCTTTGCCTTTAACTTCTGACGGCGAGGGGACCGCGAGTATCAGGTCGAGTTCTTTGTTATCTAAAGGATTGCCCTCTTCTACGTTGATTTTATGGTTTTTCTTGGTCATTGATGCTTCGTCGATATAGTCTGATGTAGCATTGGATGCTTGAGGCTCATCTTGCCCGACTTCTTCTGCCGTTGGTGCATCCTTCACAGAGCCCGGCTGGGATGAATCTTTGGTCTCTTTTGCCCCTGCCTTGTCCTTTTCCTTGGCTTCTTGCTGCGGACTCGACGGTCCTGAAGATTTTGGTGGAGGCGGGAGGTTCTGGGAAGCAGCTGGCCCGTATCTCTGGGGGAAAGCGTCTTGCTGCCGGCGAGCAGAGGTGTGCAGTTTCGCTTTCCGACGAGGCTTTGCGGGAGCTGCTGGAGGGGCGCGGACTGAATGGTAGGTGGTGGGCTCACACGCACGCACAGCACGCAGGAAGTTCGGGTATAGAAAAGGAAGGCGTGCGGTCGCCATGATTTGGAACGAAGAATCGCACGCCTGCAGCACTCCCTGTACTACTCTGAAGCTGGATTTCGTTGCCCCTTGGAAAATGTGTTGTCGTCGGCTATTGTTGGCACGCATCGGATTCTGTCCATGGAGAAAAGTGTGGCCGCCTCCGATCTTCCGCTCTTGCCAACGGACCTGGCGTGCCAGCTCGCCAGGTTCGCATCGAGATGGAACTCAACGTACTGCGTATATTCTACTACGATGACGCATGATATATCAAACAAGCGCTATATTGAGACGTCCGTCCTTCAATTTGCCTCTATCTCCGTTTGATCGTTCAGCACAAGACCTTGGGGCTGTCAAGGCTTCTCGGATTGCCCGAACGCGCAATAGTTTCTGAACAAGCCCATCAATGCCTCGTTATTTCTTTCTTTTCCTTTTGTGGTTCCTCCATGAGCGCATCTACCAATACTTTCATGGACACATTATTCCGAGGTAGGCCAAATCGCCAAATTATCCCCCCAGTTCTAATTAGAACTTGAGGATGTGCGTTGGTCGGGAGAGTACGAGTTGTCTTGCGAAGACGAGGGTTTGCATTCTGTATGGAACACCATCATGTATTCGCTGTATCTGTGGCTCTCGGCTCGCACGGCGAAGCACGTCTAATTCCCAAGAGATCCAGGTATCTGTTGGCTGCACCTACTCTAGCAGGCTTTGGTTGATAGGACAGCACACCGACAAGGACGCAAGCGGCGGACCAGGCCATCGAGGACGAAGCGCTCTCAATCGTCTTCCCAGAAAAGGGACAGTGGACCACAAATGAGGTAGGAGAAATCCAGCTTCTCGACGCAGACAAAATGAACAAGTCGGACCATTTATACTCGCGGCTACCAGCCCAGAGAAACCGTGACAGGTCGAGTCATCAAACATACTGGACTTCCACCGGTACTATGACTCAGGATGATGGCTCGCTACCCTTAGTTCCGGGTGTTACTCATCGGAATACGACCTCCTCTCCAAAAGGATGAGCAAATACATCATGAGAGCTGCAAACGTCAGATTAAAGCCTGCACGCGCATCATCTGATTGGGCTCCACGAGGTTGGAGAAACCAATAAGGCCTCGTCTGTACAGCGGGCATACTGCAAGATCGAGGCACTATTTGCGGTATGATGATAGTCACCGGGGCAGGGAATCCGGTCTTCGATCTCCAGAAAGCGATCATGCAAGTCGGAAGTCAGATGGCTCAGATTCGATCAACTCTCGCTTTACAAAATCCACAGCCTTGCTGCAGCCATCGCATATACTCCACGATCCTGATCAAGCTCCACCGCGACACATGTCTCCTTTACTGAGGGGACCAGAGCGCTCAGAGTCCATTATCCTTCCTCTTCGAGCCAGCCGATGTCTCCCAGCATTCTTCGAGCGGGTTGAGGAGTGATGGAACAATCTCTTGCTGGAAAGCGAAGTGAGCTGGCAACGGAACATTGTCGCTCCAGGGTCTGGCGGGGAATAGAAGAAATCAATGGGTGAGTGAAGGGCAGGTCAGATGTACCATGAGCTGTTGTGGCGCTGGAGGCTTGTGTGGGGATATCTCGGTCAAGAATCGATCCAAGGCCAGCAGGAACTACGATCTATCTCCGTGGATCCGAGTTGATGGAGTCCATGTGGCAGCACAGTGACTTCAGGCGTTTAGTTCAACCTGCGGTCGTGTTCACCAAAGACGATATGCCATGTCCGTTTTGGGAGAAAATGGGCGATTCGTTGACGGCAAATCATTTAGGCAGTCATCAAGCGAGATGGACGGGTGTTTTTGGGCAGGGAATTCCCCCCAAGCCCTCCACATGTTCCCATTGCCGGCCGAGCTTCCGCCTTTTCATACCAAAATAGTACATTTGTTTACATGGATGGGATTGTGACCACAGCATCGGAAGACTAGCAGTTCAGCCTTCCGAAAGACGGAAGAGCATTTTCTAGACTGAGCCGCCATGCTGTGGCTGCGGAAAAGATCGACTTCCCGAGCAATGCCCGCTCATGCGTGGTGTAGACCATTCCATCTGTGGACGCGTGCGTGTTTTGAAGGTCAGCATCAAGGGCCCGGTGCTCTCGGTGCCCCTGGTCATCATCCTCTTGTGGCGGCACATGACCTTCGCTCCATTGAAATATCATGCAAATCATTGAGATATTGCAGCCGTCAAAGAGGGTTTTTGTTCGGAGTAGCACCGAATGAGAAAGGGCAGTTCATGCACAATCTGAACGCTCGGCAGCGATGGGGAAGCGCTCCCAGGAGTTTCGCGACCCAAGTGCCGTCCATCAGGCGGCCGGGCAACCCAGTCGAACTGGCTCGCCAGATGCATGAGAGCCTTGGAGCTCAGAGTCTGGAGCAGCACGCATTGGATGATGTCGGAAGATGAGTGGTGGGGCAGGCAAGAGGGCGTGGCAGCGACTGGTAGAGCTCCGCAAGAGGAAGAAGAAAAAGAGGGGGAATGTAGGATGATGTGTGGAAAGACTCGTTGCCCTAACAGTCGCAGACAGCAAGGCAAAGGAGGGAAAAATCTTCGTGTGTGGTCATGGAAATGGGACGGGGTCACAGGGTTATAAATGAGCTGAGCGTTCGTCCGAAGACAAGTAGAATTTCTGATTCTCTGAATACTACTCCTGCTGTCCTACGGTTGCACGATTTCCGTATCTTCTTCTGTGTGTTTGGCCGCGTTCTGAGAAGTGAGTTGAGGCTTTGCAGGTACGTACCTTCGCTCCCAGCTCCCAGCACCACCCAGGTACCCCTCCTTCCCGTTGCTCTTTTTATGCCAGTTGTTTTCCATTCGGGCAGCTTTCCCCGGGGTGGCAGCTTGCCGTCTGGCCACCACAATGGCGCCCAGCAGCAGCGGGCTCCGGGCACCAAACGCTCACAAGGGGCTCCGGGCAAAGTCCTGTCCTGTGTGCTGCTTGCCTGCTGGAGGGCTAAGGGGGGCTGCTGCTCACCCCCAGTCCAGCTGCCACGGTCGAGCACCGTCTACCCTGCCCCTCTCTGCCCATTCTGCTGCCGGCCACCTTTCTCCCGGTCTCCCATTGTCCTCTCCTCACCTTCTTCGAGCCCTGCATTAGTTCCACTTCCACCACCACTGCCACTTCCACCTCCCCATCCACAAATCCACTATCCTGTATTCCCTCCCCAGTCCTCCCACCTCAATTCACCCTCTCACCCCTCGCAGCCCGCAATCCACTCCCACCCTATCTCCGTTCTCTGTGGCCACTGTCCACTGTCCTGACGCAACTCAATAACTCCATGATGCTCGTCCATCGCCCCCGCTACTCCGACCGAGCTAAGCTAACTAATGCTTTCGTGCTAGTGCCCAAAAATTAAGGTACCCTCTTCCTGTCCTGTCCTTCCCAGGCTCAAAGCTCTACCGGCAGACGCATTCAGCTCACGACATTGACCCAGACCCAGGTCTTACTACAAAACCACCTTACCGCCTGTTTATCCTTTCCAAAGTTCTCTCTCTTGACTCTCTACTCTCTACTCATCTCACCTCTCCTCTCTCTCTTTCACAATGGTATTTGCCCGTGTTGCTGCGCGCTCTTTGTCGCGCCCCGCGTCATCCCTCCTTTCTGCTTCCCCGCACTGTGTCCGCCGTGCAGCCATTCCTTCCATTGCCAAACGCACACTGACAGCCTCTGCTTCACGTCAGGGCAAAGTTCTTCTCGTCCTCTACGATGTATGTCTTCGTCTCCAATTCCCAACTCCCAGGTTCAAGTCATTAACCTGATGCAGGGCGGTGAGCATGCCAAACAACAACCCGGCCTCCTCGGAACCACAGAGAACGAGCTAGGTATCCGGAAATGGTTGGAGGATCAAGGACACACATTGGTCACCACCTCAGACAAGGAGGGCGAGAACTCCAAGTTTGACCAGGAATTGGTTGATGCCGAAGTCATCATCACTACTCCGTACGATGCCGCCCACCCAGAGGGGGATACCTTAGCCGATCTTGACTAACACTCAACCCCTCTAGCTTCCACCCTGGCTACCTGACGGCCGAGCGTCTTGCCAAAGCAAAGAAGCTGAAGATTGCCGTCACTGCCGGTATCGGCTCGGATCACGTTGACCTGAACGCCGCTAATGCCACCAACGGCGGTATCACCGTGGCCGAGGTCACGGGCAGCAACGTCGTCTCGGTTGCCGAGCACGTCGTCATGACCATCCTCACCCTCGTCCGCAACTTCGTTCCTGCCCATGAACAGATTGAGCGCGGCGACTGGAACGTCGCAGCAGTGGCCAAGAACGAGTACGATCTTGAGGGCAAGGTGGTTGGTACCGTTGCCGTTGGTCGTATTGGTGAGCGTGTGCTCCGTCGTCTGAAGCCCTTCGACTGCAAGGAACTGTTGTACTTCGACTACCAACCCCTCAGCCCGGAGAAGGAGAAGGAGATTGGCTGCCGACGTGTTGAGGATCTTGAAGAGATGTTGGCTCAGTGTGATGTTGTCACCATCAACTGCCCTCTCCACGAGAAGACTCGAGGACTGTTCAACAAGGACTTGATCTCCAAGATGAAGAAGGGTAAGCCACACTGCATCAACAACGCTCTCGTCCCACCGACTTGAGACTAATCTTAACTCTCTATACAGGCGCATGGCTCGTCAACACCGCCCGCGGTGCCATCGTTGTCAAGGAAGACGTCGCCGAAGCTCTCAAGTCTGGCCAGCTCAACGGTTATGGCGGTGATGTGTGGTTCCCTCAGCCCGCCCCCAAGGACCATCCTCTCAGATATGCCAAGAACCCATGGGGTGGCGGCAATGCCATGGTCCCTCACATGTCGGGTACCTCCATTGATGCGCAAGCGCGTTATGCTGCTGGTACCAAGGCCATCCTCGAGAGCTACTTTTCTGGCCGTCACGACTACAGGCCTGAGGATTTGATCTGCTACCAGGGTGACTATGCCACCAAGGCTTATGGCCAGCGGAACAAGAAATAAATACATGCTGGGAAGCAAACCGCTCTTGATTGCGTGACAACGGATGTTGATGATGTGTATAAGCGCGGGTGAAAGAGAAGGGTGAGCATGCGGAGGGTCAATTTTTTCCGGCTCAAATCCAGCAAGCCGTCAAAAGCAGACGTATACCATGACAAGCAGTGATATCCCATCCATCTCCCCAAGCACTCTAGGTTTAGGCGGAATACATCTATTCGGGACGGATAGTTGATCACAAGCATTGGGCTAATTGGGACTGAGCCAATCCGAAGACAAAAAACATGATTGATGATTCGAGTTGCCGCGGACATGAATCTCATACATTTCATCTCTTGCATGTGAAATTCCCGGCTTTCCGTGATTTCAGTGCCATGGCACTTGAGAAAAGTCTCATGACAGCTCCCCAACTCGTGTCCAGCTCGGTGCGGGGAAAGCTCCAAGCTCCGAACTCCAGCTCCCAAAGAAAGGGGTTTGTCCTAGCCTGTTTGCTATTGTGCACTGGTAGAATCGGCACGACCCATCTGCAACGCCGGTGATACATCGGCCACACCAATCTTTTGAGGGTTGCAGGCGCTTATCCTCCGTAGACCTCAATCTCCCAGATCCTCCTTTGTTCGTTGCTCAGCCTCCTAAGTATTGTCCGGTGTTTGAGACCTGCTGGACCTGCTGGACCTGCTTGAACGATTAAGCGGAGGTTGGAATTGAGCACCTGGCGTTTGACGTGCCGAATGAGGTTTAGTGGGCACACTTCCATATCAAGGTTAGCGGTGTCGGCAAAAGGAGGGCTGCGGGAAGGTGATAAGGAAACGAAACATATCGATAAGGGCTCGGTGGCTCGGTCGCGACGGTGGGTTTAGCTACACGTGATAGCTCTCTCGCTATACCTTCCACATGATCTCAACCCCCCACGGTCGCCGCGGACACGATGGAGCGCGTCACCGATCACCACCCTCACTCATGGCGGCGGGCATACGAATCTCCATCAGAGATGGTCCCCAAGTTGGCACAAGACTACCGCCGTATCTATTGCCCATACGCCACTCCTGTGCGCCTTGGGCGGAAGGTTTCGGCATGCGTCAGGTTCACACAGTGCCGATCAATGACCGAAGCTCAAATGATTCTTGCTGTTGAGCACACTCCTGCGTACCCTTTCGACAATCAGCGATTTGCTCAACAACTCCCCATGGCTTGGCATCGTCTGGATGGGACTGATCTGGGCGATCGGGTCAATCAGCGCATGCAGACTCGGGGACCAATCAGACGGATAAAAACTTGGAGACGTGCGCCGGTGGTTAGGAGAACAAGGAGAAAGTAAGAAGAAGGCCCTGCAATGGAGAAGTTCATGCGGCAACTGCTTTTGCCAAATAAAGTCTACGGAGTCTTCTGAATCTCCGGTGCAATCGGGCTGGGCTCATGCTCCAATTGTCGCTGTTTAATTGCTGGAGGAGGTGGAATCTTGTGACCTGGGATCCCACGAGGCTGCCTCGTTCCAGACGACCTGATCAAAAAGTGACAGATTTCTGATGCAAGATTTGGCCCAGCCGTCTCGGTTCCTGTCGCAAAATTTTCAAAAGGAGGTCGGGGTTGAAGGTAATGTCATTGAACGATGGTCACTACTGGGTCTTGCGTCCATTCCTGATCATGCACGCTGTATGACTTCTGGTTCGCATTGACTTTTGACACAGAATGACGAGATTGGCGATGGATCCTTCCGAACCAGCAGATGGACAGACCGTGGAGAAAAATTGACTTTGGCATCTGTAGGAACGCCCCGTTTTTCAGCCTCGTCTACAACCATATGCGAAGGCGACATCCCCATCTGCATTGAAGGTTCCTTTGGTTCAGTTGATGAATTTTTTCGACATGATGGTCCCCGAGTTGATCTGCCATGGGGCATTACGGGTATATATCCCCAGAAATCGCCCTCGAGAATAGGTTTGCTTTCCTCGCGACAGTACTACGTACTCGTAGGTGCCCCTAAGATCGATGCTGATTGTATTTGTTGCTAACAGCGTACTCCAGGAGCCTTGCAGTGATATCGGTAGTAGCGACAATTACCGTTTGTAAGTATAGAGTGTTCCTCGTTGGCTAAGGAGATCCCATTGCTGATAATATCCGCTAGAATCACCGTAGCAACCTTTCTCTCCGACTCTTGCTCAATTGACAATCGCCATGGGCGTCTCCCTCTCCATCTTGGCCAGCGAGACCTGCTGGGTGCTCAAGAGGTTCTTCCTCTTGTTGCGCCTCCGCCGGCGCCTCCGCAAGATCTTCTGTCGACCACCCAGGCATGGGAGCACGTCGACCTTCGACTGCTCCTTCTCAGAGATCCCGGCGGAACTCTGGGAAGGTGACGACGGTCCCCTCTCTCCCTTCGCCTCTCCTCCTCTCCTCTCTCCCGCCTCTTCTTTCCGTGCTGTTCCTCGGCCTCGCCCCGGACACCTGTCCGATCGATGGACTTGGTTCTAGCAAACTAGCGGGCACCGCGGCCAAATGTGCATGACGCCAACGTCTGACAACAGCGAGTCACCCCCAGACTGCCTCGCAGAACGGACCACTATCTACCGTCAGACCACAGACGGTTGCAGACCAATAATGACAGTGAGAAGACCTAAGTTGATGTCCCGGTTACTTGGTTCCAAACCAGTAATGACAGCGAGAAGGCTTGGGGCTGATGTCCCGGTTATTGAGTTGCACAGTATGACATCTCAGAACCTCCGACGCATCAATGTCAGTGAGAGTGAGCTCTGTCACCTTCAGGATGCGTGCGTACTGGCTTCGGCTGGGCAGATGCCGCTCCTTGTTGGATGTGGGCCGTGAACCAGCAGCCTGAAAGCGCTCCAAGCGTTATTAGACTCTGGCCATCGAGCCGCAGAAAGATATGTCTCAGATCTGCCAGTCTGTGCTTTATTTAAGCGACAAGAGCATCAAAAGCCAGAGCACCAATAGCAGCAGCGTCAACCTTCCCACCAAGCACCTATTACATGGCAGTGTGACTCGATCTGAGCTTGCCACATACATTCTTTACACCTTGGGTTTTCGGCACCCTTCCAAGCCACGACGGCGCTCTTTACTCGACACTCGCTCTACACTTATACGACCGCTCATTGCACATCACTGTCGCTCGCTTTATCACTCGCTTTTGGCGCGGGGGGACATTTCCACCATTACTCACTTCCTGAACACCAAGCAGCGAAGGCCGATCTCAATTACAATCTACATCTACTATATCGACTCCAATCTAAATGGCAATGTCATCAGCCTTCACGTCGACGCTCGTCATGTGACAGAGGAGCGTGACATGGCTATCCAACCACGCACCAGCTTGAACACTCCCGACCGTTCTATTGTCTTCGACTGAAGCGAACACAATATCGCCATATACCCCAACACCAACGTCTCAGGTGACAGAAGAACGCTATCCCACATCCATCCAGACTGCCAGCTAAACGGCTCCCTGAAAATTGTTCGTCGTTCAATTCTTGCTCCATCCAAGTCAACTCAACCCTTCACAATCAAATCAACTCAACTACAAAATCAAATCAAATCAAATCAACCATCCACAATCCAATATGTCCACAGCATACCACTAGGTGGCATAGGAACAATATATCACAACCACTTACATTTCTATCTACACCACCAACTAAATAACTATCGATCATTACAATGCATTCAATCGTTTGTCCAACTCCACCAAACTCCATCCCACCAAACACAACCGAAAAAGCCGACTCGTCTCCAGCATACATGAACACAATGTTACCATCTATATCCCTACTTCTTCGCTATCTGCATGACCACCGAAATTACTATCGATTGCTACAATGGCATTCAATCGTTTATCCAATCCAACTAGACACTATCCCAACAACACCATCGACACATCAACACACCAACTCCGCTCCGGTTTTTATGAATAAATGTTTCTACCACCACTATCCCTACTCACGCTGCAATCTATGATTCGCGGTCTACAACTCATCGTATCGCTCGGACTAAATTAACGAACCACGACCTCTATATTTCGCAAGGAGAATACAAGGAAAAGGGGAAGGGAGAAAAACAGAAAAGAAAGGAGGAAAAGGAAAAGTAAAATTGAAAGATCGAAACTGTCAGGACAAAAAATCCAACTGCAGACCTCCTGAAACCAGGGAAAGGAAAGACGGAAGCGCAAAAGCAAGAAAACTCACAACGAAACCAAAATCCAGTGCAAGGACAAAAAAGGAAGGACGTGGTTTGTTTGAGGTCGGCGAGAGCATGCCTTTGTTCATGGTCAGCAAAGACGTACATACTTTCAATTAAGGCTCGGAAGGATATCCTTCTGTTTAAAATCAGAATTCAAGAAGGATGCGACCATTGCCATGTCGCATACCTAGGTCGTCATCTGCCATTTGCCATCTGCTCTCTAGACTGCGATTTCACTTCCGCCGATATGTACATCTATGGGGACTGACGGATCGCTCACAACCATTCATTTTTTTTTTTCTTTTTCTTTTTTTTTCTCTTTCTCATCGCCTCGCAAGCCTTGTTCTGAAGAGAGAGGAAGAAAGGGCGACGATGGCAAAGATGCGGGAGCAAGGGTGTTTACTATTTACAGTGTACAGACAGACAAAACACACCGACTGAGCGGCGGCGCAGCTGCCCCTAGAATTTCAAGACCACAAGCTCCATGCGTTCGTTCTGGCCTATCAGCCATCGCTCGTCGCCCGCGATGCGGCCCATGAAGGAGACTTCCTTAGTCAAGTCGTCGTCGAGGGTGGCCCAGACGGGGCCCGTAGCGGCAGAAGCTTCTTCGTCGCCGTGCAGGACAGAATCTTTGTCGTTGGCGGCTTCGACCTTGAGCCGCACGACCAGTCTGTTTTCCACGCTCTGGCCCGAGAAGCACGTCTCGACCAGGCTCAATCGGACGCCTGCCTCGGCGTCTACGACGTCCATGACCGGCAGGAACCAGCGCTCGCTCTCTTCCACGTCGGCCGTCTCCATGCTGCAATGCCCGCGGTAAGGAGGGAGATTGCCGTCCCATTCGCGGAACAAGCGTGGTCCTTGGCCGAGGAAAGGAAACGTCGTCGTCTTTGCACACCACAGGCGCTCCGCCGGGTCAAAATAACCCTGGCCGGCCACGCCCACGTTTTCGCGGACCGTCAACGATAAGGTTTCCGAGTCCAGGTGGAGAGACATCAACGCGACACTGGCGCGCTGGCGTATGCCAAAGAGATCCATCTGTGTGAAGGAGAACCTCGAGACAATATACGGACCAGCTTTCTCGGGGGGGCGGAATTTTCCCGACGGGTCTGTCGAAGGTCGATACGACGAGGGCGCCGAAATGTCCCAGACCGATAGCGACTCGATGGGAAGCTCTTCGTCGCCCGTGTACATGCTCCGATTGGGCTGCCAGAAATACACGGCGTAATGGATGGCATTGTGCGTCGAGAAGAAGCGGTCGTGGTAGTTGGGCGGCAAGCCGAGGAAATGCATTTTCCATTCTGAGCGCCACGTCACCTTCCAGGACTTGTCCTGTTGTTGGATAACGTCGAAGCAGTTTGCGAAATGCCGGTTGACCTGTTCCATGGCATTGAGGTTGTGGAAAGGGTCCTTCTCGGCCCATTCCACGATCAAGGTCCGGTCTTTGAGGCGCAGATTGCGGACGATCTTGGCTCGAATGTCGAATGGAATGGCATACTTGTGACCCGTCTCGACGTCCAGCAGAGCCAGGATCTGCGGGAAATAACCATCGTCGTTGCACTCGGCGGGGGCATATACCAGAAGGCCGTCGTCATAGGACCACAAGGTCGGCCGAAATAGGTACGGCTTGGTGCCAATGCGACTCAGATGGCTGGCGGCGGTCTCGTAGTATAGACGACCTCCTGGCTGGCTTTCATGATAGTCCCATTGGCCGACAGGAAACCAGTCGCCTAATTGTTCAACCGGAGCCATGGGATATCTGTTGACGAGTCTGGCCGTGCCACGGGCGAGACTGTGGTAGCGCGAGGCCACGGCGGCAAGAAGAGCTTTCCAGTCCAGCGAGGTCTGTTGCTGTTGGCAAGAAGAGTGCAAATGGAGGGTGCCGGGAGGGAGAGCGCGGACTTCCCTGGCGCGCGGGTAGGACTGCAGCACGAACCTGACATGATCGTCGCTGGAGAATGCGGCGCGCCATGATTTCGAGACGCGCTGGCACGACAAGACATCCCAGGCAGAGAGATTGGTGACGACCAAGAGGAAGACGTCCTCGGGCAAGTCGGGCAGGGATATCACGGTTGATGATGGAGGAGGGGTGACGGTAGCGAGCTCGAGGTCGAGCTTGCCGGGCCTTGCATCCGGTGGCATGCTGGATTTATGATGGGATTGAGTTTGGCACTGTATGGTGGTTTAAGATGGGGATTGAGCACGGCAATGGAGGCAGCATTTGAGCAACGCATCGAGAAGCCCAAGATACTGGTCATTGCCGGCAGGAAGTGAGAGAAGCGGCGGAGGAAGCAGCAAGCTCAGTCAGCTCCTGGAAGTATACGGAGGACTTGGAGTTGACATTGAGCTGACTGAGGAAGGTATCTCGGTATGTAGGTGGTCGTTGTCATCGGGTCCCATGGCCCTGACTGATCTCTTTCTCCTCTTCTGTCATCGATGCTCCGCTCAATACTCGGTGCCAGTGACCGAAGTGCGGAGACGAGGGGAGCGGAGGCTCGGAGGGCTGCTATGACTAATCCATCACGTGCCTTGGGTGGCTCGGGGGGCATCCCCAGTTATTAGTCGCCTGTAGTCACGTGGACACATCACATGACTACCCGCTCCTGAATACCCGCTCTTTTCCGACGCCTCCGCCACATTTTCACCACATCCAGTAGCTGCTCACCTATCAAGTAGTGGGCGACTTCTCCGACGGCAATCATCGCCGCGGGGTTTGAAAAAAAAAAAAAGAAATTTTCCAGAAGGGAGAAGAGCCAAACACCGGGATTGACTCACACGACTCACTGAATACTACGCTCTGCTTGTCCTAGGGCGCATCTAGAATCATCTTCTACAAATACTTACTGGTTGTGCCTACCAACCTTAGATACTCGGTACAGTCGTTATATCTCCTGACAAGTCACACATCCATATCTCACACCTCACCGGCACTTGATATCTTCCTTTTTACCCTTTTCCTAGTTCTTTTGTCGAGTCACCTGGCTGAAGAGAGTGGTCGGCCGGAGAGCAACAGAGGGAGAGAGAGTGCGCGTGTGTCTGTGTGGGGTCCTCCATTGAATTCTGGTGGTGGACTCGTCATTTGTATCTCCCATCGATTTTTCGCCTCCTCCATCAACCACGACCGCCTTGGAGCAATTTTCCCTCATTGTCCCTCTCTCTCCATTGGGAGCATAGTCGACATACCCAGACATACCTACCTGCCACCTCCTGTCCTCGTCCTGTCCCCTACTTCTCCTCGTCTCCCAACTCGAGCCCGATAAATCCCTCGCCTCCATCGCCTCTCCTTCTACTCCCGCCCTCAATCCTTCCCACCTGCGCCCCATACTCCATCATGGTTATGAACGACAATTCCAACATGTCCTCCACCACAATCGTGCCTCAGACTTCCTCCGCCCCCAATGGCGACCTCCCTTCCTTTACAGTGAAAGCCGGTCTGGCCCAGATGCTCAAGGGCGGCGTGATAATGGACGTGGTCAATGCCGAACAGGCCCGCATCGCCGAGGAAGCCGGTGCCTGCGCCGTCATGGCTCTCGAGCGTGTGCCCGCCGATATTCGTGCCCAAGGTGGCGTCGCGAGAATGTCCGACCCCGCTCTAATCAAGGAGATTCAAGCCGCCGTGACGATCCCCGTCATGGCCAAGGCCCGGATAGGCCACTTTGTCGAGTGTCAGATCCTCGAGGCGCTGGGGGTGGATTACATCGACGAGAGCGAGGTCTTGACTCCCGCGGACAACACGTACCATGTCGAGAAGGCTGGGTTCAGAGTGCCCTTTGTGTGCGGGTGTCGGAATCTGGGTGAGGCACTTCGACGGATCGCCGAGGGCGCCGCCATGATCCGGACGAAAGGCGAAGCCGGCACAGGCGACGTGGTCGAGGCGGTCAAGCACATGCGGACGGTCAAGACCGACATCGCCAGGGCCCAGGCCGCCCTGAAGGAGGGGGACGGCGCATTGAGAGCCTTGGCCCGAGAATTGGGCTGTGATGCCGTCCTGCTCAAGCAGACGGCCGAGCTGGGCCGTCTGCCGGTGGTCAACTTCGCCGCCGGCGGCATCGCGACCCCGGCCGACGCCGCGCTCATGATGCAACTGGGCTGCGACGGTGTCTTTGTCGGCTCGGGCATCTTCAAGAGCGGCAACGCCGCCAAGCGCGCAAAGGCCATTGTGCAGGCCACGACGCACTTCCGCGACGCCAAGGTCCTGGCGGAGTGCTCCGAGGGCCTGGGCGAGGCCATGGTTGGCATCAATGTGAGCGGGATGGGAGAGGGCGAGAAGATGGCCGGCCGAGGATGGTAGATGTAGACGGTCATGGGCACGCATGTATCGGCTGGGGTGGATACGAAGATGGAGCCTTGTGTTGGTAAACAGCGAACAAAGACATAAAAGTCGAGAGACGCGACGCAGGATAGAGAGATGGCACGAGCATGAGCATGGAGCAGGCCGGGCCTGAGAAACACGGAAGGGAAACAATGCATCAGGGGAGTGTCGGCGTCTACGTCCTCCGTCCATAGGGTCCTGTCTTTTGTCTCTATTTGAATGCAATTTATAAACGGACGAATTTGGATCTCGAGAATCTCCTCTTCACTCTTCCCTCTTCCCTCTGGAGTCGGGACTCCGTACTCTAGACTCCGTACGCTACCCAACGAATGATACAAGGAAGAAGGGACCTGGCGAGTACCTGATAATATCACAGACCAGACCAACAGACCGAGCGAGGGACTGGCTGCATATTACTAGGTATACAAGGACTCCTACCGATCAATATAGTTTTGATGCTCGTTATGCCGACCTAAGATCCCCAGGCATGTAACTAGCTATATTCTGCACCTCAGCCGTACGTATTGGATTGGTAGTTACGTGGACGCTCTCCCTCACTCGCTCACACAATGTACCCGGGGCGCCCCTTTTATCTTCTTCTCCCCCACTTCTAGCATGCCTGCTTATACTTGCCCTCTCCTTACGCTGGTCCCTTACGCCAACACCTCATACAAGCTCCTCCAAAACAGCCAACATCTCGGCCCTGCCCAGCGGGACGGCCAACATCTCGGCGCCGGTGGCGGGGTCTCTGCGGGTCGTCATCATCTGGTGGTCGAGGAACTCCTTGAGGAGGAATTGGAAGTTCATGCTGCTTGAACAGATGAATTCCTCGGCCGCCTTGCGGTATAGTGCGCGGTATTCGATTCCGACTTCGTCTGGTGTGGCTGCTGTTATTGGTAGTGTGGTTGGTTTCGTTGTTGTTTTTGTTGTTGTTATTGTTGTCGTCGTCGTCATGCCTCTTGATTTCTTCCGGGACGTTTGGAGATCACCTTCTTCGTCACCGTCTTCGCCTTCATCATCTTCGGCACCGGCGCCGCCATCATCCTCCAAAATGCTCAGTATCTCGGCCAGCAGCAGGCGATACAGGTTCCGAGCGTTCTCCGGCAAGCTCTTCAGCACAAAACCGATCCCTTCCTTCCCGCCGGCCCGCATCCTCTTCCTACCCAGGAGCTCGTGGACATCGTCTACCACACTGCCTATCTCGGCCGCGTAAGGCGCGAATGTCGTGCAGTCATGGAACACGAATTTGAATTGGTCCAGGAGGGTCGAATTCCACATGGCCGGAAAGGTGGGTGTGTCGCATGTGGCGAGAAAGGAGATGTGTGGGTGAGCTGCCAGGCGGGAAAGGAGGGACTGGACAGACGGCCGGCGGAGGGAAGGGGAGTCGATGGAATTGACCATCACGAGTAGCTGCGAGGATGGAGGTGCGTCTGTCAGGTGGGAGAGCAGGGTGTCGAGCATTTCTTCTGGCTGGCCGACCAGGCGGATCGCCTCATCCTCCGTTTCGGCCACGGCCGAGGCAATAGTGTTGAGAATTGTTCGCGGGTTGAGTTTTGGAAGGTAGCCGTTGACAACGACAATACGAGGAGGCGGATGATGGCATTTCTTGTACATATACTCTGCGAACTGCTTGACTAGAGGTTGTTTGCTGCCGTAGCCATACAGACATAGACCAAACCCCTCAGCAAGTTCGAAGCGCCATTGTGGAAAGGACCGGGCGTGCAGTCTCATCAGAAAGGCCTTTTCGGGGTCGTGAGGGTCCCTCCATGACGAGATGTGCTCGAAATATTCGTCGTGCGTGAGCAATTTGACCGAGTTGAACTTGTTGCTCGAGACTTGAGGGGGCCCAAGGCGGTTTTGATAAAAGTATCGTTCTTCCGGAGGGATGTCGCCCTCAGGCGTGGGCGATCTCCTGGACTTTGAGCCCTTGGGTCTCCCTCGTTTGCCGGGCGTCTTCTTCGATGGTGTGGCCGCCTCGTCCCCTTTCGCGATGAGCTCGTCGACATCCTGGCCTAGTCCACCTCCGTCGATATCTTCCTCGTCTTGTCCCTCAACCTCGTCGAGTATTTCCCGCGCCAAGCGTGCATCTTGCCCGTCCGGGTTGTCGTCGTCGTCATCAAGGTCCTGTGCCTCAGCGAGTAGTCGGGCACTCTTCCTCTTGGCAGACCTATCCGCCTTTGCCCTTGCAGACTTTGAGGGTGTAGCAGCGAGTGGGCGACCTTTGGCTCGAGTGGGAGTTGAGAACGAGGCGCGACCATTTGGTTTCGGGGTGGGACTGCCCTCGTCTTGATCCTCCTCGTCCTGTAGGCCATGGACGGCAGATTTTCTTTTTCTCCTTGAAGGTGTTTCCTCTGAACTGCCCTCGTAATGTCCGTTGGGGGGTGCTTCGGCTTCGACTGTAGTTTTCCGGCGGCGCTTCGAGGGGGTTGTGACTTCGGCGAAGGACTCGGGGGTGGGATTGGGCTGTTTCCGTTTAGACATGGTGCAGTATGAGCGGTATACAGGCACAGAGAGGTCCTAGGTGTTAGCCCGTACATTAAGTGCGGACGTGGTGATTCTCTTGATTCGCTGGCTTTTCTTGTTTCTCTCCCTGCGCGACGCGACTCGGCGACTTTGGTCGCAATGATGCCGCTCCGCAAACCGGCGGCTCTGATTGGCCCATCCGTTCATGTGCATTTTTTGACTCACGCTCGTTTCTTTTCTCTCTCCTCGATGAAAAAGACACTGCGCCATATTGACTCTACATCTGGAGAAAAGAAAGAACAAAATTGGTCTGAGAGAACCGACACAGGTGCATGGGCTGTGAGCGAGTGTCGTGCATTTCCTCCTGCACCCATTATCCGGGGAACTGATCATCGATCAGAGCAAGCCACCCGCCGACCGGGTGGACGTATGAATGAATTGAAGCTCGCAGACTCACTCCAAACAGTCATCTATCTACTATATCGTGGAGGAGGCACAGAGAGTCAACAAGTGAAATGGCGTCCTCACTCAATCCCTCAACAACCCGGTCGGCCATCCGGACCTTCATTCGACATTACTCCGCCCCGGTTGACGCGACCGTCCCAGCCTCAAAGGTGAAATACGTGCCCACCTCTGGCACCTACCCAAAAGGCTTCAGAGTCTCCGGAACCCATGTCGGCGTCAAGCCGGCCAACAAGTCTCATCCAGATCTGGCTCTCATTACCTCAGATAGGCCGGCATTTGGTGCGGCTGTCTTCACCACCAACAAGTTCCAAGCCGCGCCGGTTCAAGTGAGCAGAGCAGTGCTCGAGAAGCGTGCCGGGGCAGGCTTGAGGAGTATCGTTGTCAATTCCGGCTGCGCAAATGCCGTCACCGGCCAAGGCGGCGTCGACGATGCCTGGGCCATGTCCCAAACAGCCTCCGCCCAGTTTCAACAACCAGACACTCATGGCCCGAACAGCCTTGTCATGTCTACCGGCGTTATCGGGCAGAGACTGCCCATCCACAAGATCCTCGCAAAGATCCCCGCTGCCTACGAAAACCTCGCCAGCGACCACGATGCCTGGCTGACGACGGCCAAGGCAATCTGTACCACGGACACTTTCCCCAAGCTCCTCTCCACGACATTCACCCTGCCTGGCCCCCAGCACCAAGGCGTGGAATACAGATTGGCAGGAATGACCAAGGGCGCAGGCATGATCCATCCCAACATGGCCACACTGCTGGGGATAATGTGCACCGACGCACCCATCGGCGCGGGACCGCTGCAATCCCTACTCACCACCGCGGTGAATAAATCATTCAACTGCATCTCCATCGACGGAGACACCTCTACAAACGACACGGTCGCCATCCTCGCAAACGGCGCCGCCGCTTCGCCCTCGTCATCCAGCTCGCCGATCTCCTCCTCGACCAGTGAAGACTACATCGCCATGTCCTCCATCCTGACCTCGTTCTCGCAGCGCCTCTCCCAATTAGTCGTCCGCGACGGCGAAGGCGCCACAAAATTCGTGACAATCCACGTCCGCAACGCGCTCACCGAGAGTGACGCCAAAGCCATCGCATCCACCATCGCTCGTTCCCCACTGGTCAAGACCGCGCTGTACGGCAAGGACGCAAACTGGGGCCGCATCCTCTGCGCGATCGGATACACGCCTAACATATCCCTCTCCAGCGCTACGGGATCCGTATTGCCCGCCAGGACAAACGTGTCGTTCATCCCGGCCGAATCCTCAAAGTCCAAGGCAGAGGGCGTGCTGAGGCTTCTCGTCAACGGTGAGCCGCAAGCCGTGGACGAGGAAAGGGCCGCGCGCCTGTTGGAAGACGAGGACCTGATCATCGACGTGGACTTAGGCGTCGGAAGCGCAGAGGGGAATTATTGGACGTGTGATTTTAGTCATGAGTATGTCACCATCAACGGGGACTATCGCACGTGAGACCAAGAGCGCGTGTGGTACGAAGTACATGAAATGCGATCGGTCTAGCGAGCGAAGAACGGAGACAGAGACACACACACATACGGACAGAGAGAGAGAGCACATAGCTAGCGGTCCATATACCGTATATACTATCACATTCAGTTAAAAAAACACGTTCCGAAGTAAAAGGGACATACAATTCCCAAACTCACACACGCACACACACACACGCACAAAAAGCAACCCTGCACTCCGCACTGATCAATGCATCAAAGGCCTTCTCTTCATACAGTATAGGTAGGGCAGCTTGACTACATAGTACTATACAAACAAGACAAGGCCAAGTTAAGACAAGGCCAGACGAGACAAGACAGGATATATATCTCCCTCGTTGGTTTTTGCCCTCTCGCCCTCCGTGAGCTTCGTCTTAGCCATTCCTAACCTCGATCCTAAAAAAGCCTTTTGCTATGCAGAAACAGGGCACACTTTTGTTCTCGTAATTTCTCTAACAAGCCCGTGTGTATGAAAAGCTCAACTTTTCAAACCTGTCAAAGGTTCTAAGCAATCAATCCCTTCAATCCCTGCCCGAAATCTCCTTCTTTAGCCGCAATCTCAAAGTATCCATAGATGATTGTGACTGCGAGTAAGATCCCGGTCCCACTCCCCAGCGCACCGAGCATGTCACTTGCCACAGACAACGCCCCAATGCACGCACCGCCAAAAGCTGCCGCCGTCGGGATTACTCTCTTCAGTTCCTTGTACATGCTCTGCTCACGATGACCGGCCATGACGAGTCCTTGCTCCTTGAGGTTCTTGGCCACGTCGCGTGGGGCGCTACCAGAGACTTCAATCCATGTCTTAGAGAAGACCGCACAAGTGACAATGATGAATGTGACGTAGATGACAGTGTGGATGGGGTCAAGAAGGGCGTCGGTGAAGTTAAGGGGTGGGGACATGTAATATGCGATTCCACCACTCGCGTACAGTTGAGATGAGCCCTCTCTTGGTTCCCATGTTCCAATGAGCTTGACAAGCAGGTTGTCGGAGAAGCGGGTGTAGAGCATCTGACTGATCATGAAGATGTTCGAGGCCAATGCAGACTGTAGCATGATGGGCATGTTGGAGGTGTAGAACAGGCGGACGGGGTAGGAGCCGCGCATACCCCGTTGACGTGACGATTTCACCGGAATCTCGACCCGGAAGCCCTGAAGGTAAATGACGGCGGCAAAGACGGTCAAGGTTGCCAAAAGGTTCATAATGTTCGGAAGGTGTTGGCGGTAGAAAGCCTCGCGGAGTGCACGAGTCTTGTCCGGCCAGGTGACAAGGAGGTGGAAGAGGGCAATCACTGCGCCTTCGAATTCTTTTCCGCGGCCCGTGTCAATGGTCGTCGGGGAGAAGGCTTTCCAGATGATGGACTCGCAGATGTTTGTGGCGATGAAGAGAGAAATGCCAGATCCGAGACCGTATCCCTTCTGCAGCAGTTCATCGAGGAGAATGACCACCAAACCCGCAATCACCAGCTGGACAATCAAAAGGAGGCAGATACCAGCACCGAGGTCGCTTGGTTGGCCATAGAGACCCGTAAGGACGAAAACGCAGGCCTGGCCGAAGGAGAGAATGATGGCGAAGAGTTTTTGAGCGGTTTGGTACAGTTCGCGGTCAGACTTGAGATCAAGATTGACGTCGATGAGGTGAGTACCAGCTAGGAGCTACGGTGACCGCGTTAGATGATTGCTGCGAAGGCGACTCGGGGAGTTTTCGCGCATACCTGGAAGACCATGCCTGACGAGATGATGGGTGTTGTCCCCAATTCCATCAATGTCCCTCTGTTACTGGCCAGCATCATACGCAGCCAGTAGATGGGATCTGACGTGTCGGACGAGACGATGCCGTAGAGAGGCATTTGGCTCATGACCAAGAAAATCAGGAGCGTACACTGTCCATCGCGGTCCAATTGTTAGTCTCCAGGTGCTTGTCCCACGTTGGCAATTGTCGCGTGGATTTCGGCTGGATTCGCTCTTACTCCTGTCCACATCAACTTCTGGTTGAATGGAATCTTTGATTCCGGGGCCGCCACCTCCGGCAGGAGGGGCGTAAAGGGTTTAATGAGGTCGAGAAAGCGGACTGCATTTGTTGCGGTTAGCGATTTTGTGCATTGAACGTGCGGAGAGGAGAGGAGAGGAGAGAGAAGCACGCACGGCCACTCATGGTTGCTGCACACCGTGGAACACCTGAAGGCTGTTGAGGAGAAAGGAAAGGAAGAAAGGAGCAAAGGAGCGCGAGAAGTGGCTGCTGAGAAGAGAGAAGAGGAGGAAGCTGGAGGTCAGTTTCTCCTGAGAGCTTCGAGGAAACCTTGCAATTTGGCTGCGAGGGCTGAGGACACTTCAACAATCCTCCACGTCACAAACGGAAGCTTTGCCGAGACGAAATAAGTGTGCCAAGAAACCTGGAGCGCAGCCTTGTTCAGCCTTGTTCAGCCTCGCATACCGAGCAAGGCTGGAGCCGGCAACCCTTTGACTCACACGGAGGATCGCTTAAGCTCTTCCATTAAAAGGCTTCGTTATGTTGCGATCGACCAAAGAAGCTTGTCCCATTTGCCATAAACGAATGAAAAAAAGGCACCAACCAAAAGCCCAGAACACCGCGGTTTTTGCCGCTCCACCAGCGTCATGCAGATTCCGTTATCAAATGTAATCGCAGGGCGTGGGACAATTCTCCCCCGGGCTCAAAAATGCAGAAGTTTAAATCGTAAGTGTTCGCTATAATTTATTCTGTTGACCATCTCTTCTCCCTCTGCTCTTTCTCAATTGTCGTTATTGTTGTCATCCTCTCGCAATCAGCAATGTACCTTCGCGCCGTGCACGCCGAATTCCACATCCCCGCCCTCCGGCGTTTCATACGGGAAAACCCTTTGGGATTGTTGATCACGTCCTTGTCCTCGCCGAATTTCCCTACTATACAATGCACGCACATTCCGTGGGTGCTCGATGTCGATGACGACTCAAGCGAGACAGAACTCGGCAGATTACGCGGTCATCTCGCCCGACAAAATCCGCATTCAAAAGCAATCATCGAAGTCGCCGCCCAGCTTCAACAAGCTACTTCTGACCCCGCCACCTCTCCATCAAAAGGGGCACAGAAACTCAGGGAAGAAGTCTCCATCATCTTCAACGGCCCCGCACATCATTATGTGACGCCCAAATTCTACGTCGAGACCAAACCCGCCACGGGAAAGGTCGTGCCGACGTGGAACTACTCGGCCGTGCAGGTGTACGGAACCGCCACGGTGCACTACGACACCCATCTCGAAGAGACGGGCCAATTCCTGCAGCGGCAGATATGCGACCTGTCAAAACACGCCGAGACGACGGTCATGGGGTACGAAAGACCTTGGAGTGTCGGAGATGCGCCCGAGCGGTACATCGAGCTGCTCAAGAAGAACATCATCGGCATCGAGATTGAGATCACCCGGTTAGAAGGCAAGTACAAGATGAGTCAGGAACTCGGCAAGGAGGACCGGCAGGGCGTGATCAAAGGGTTCGAAGCTCTCAACACCCAGCTCGGGGACTTGGTGGCGAAGACGGTCGAGGAGAGGGGGGAGCTAAAGGATTCACAGAAGTCAGCGGGCGAGGCTCGTGCCTAAGTTCGCCAAGATGGCGATAGAAGCGGGAACGAAGGAGGGAGTCCAGGTATTTCCTTTCAACGAGAGTCGTGTCCGCCAAATGAAGGGCATTCCTCTTCATTTCCTAGTAGTCAGCTAGATGGACTTTCTCCGAGATCATGAAGGCGGGAAAGAGCATGTGAGGATTGAGAATTGGCCCTGTTCTACCAAGCGAGGCCTCCATGATTTTTCCAATCCGGCTAGCCATTCAATCACCTAGCTGCAGATCAATATTCTTCAGAAAGTGTTGCCGTCTTCTTCCATGTATCACATACGATTCCTCGACTTCTCTGGACCTAGGCTTCGTAACCTCCGCGCCGTCCAAATGAGAATCGGCCAATAGAACGCCCGTCGCTATGCAAATGCGCCCGCTCTGATCTTTTCCCATTCATGATATTGTTTCATCGTAACAGCGGGTCCTTCACGCTGTCGAATGCTTCGCTGATAAACAAAAGCGCCTCGTAGCCTGCCCTGCTACACCTGAAAATTGAATCTCGCATTTTTCCACGTCTCCCAAGTAACCGAAACTTGGGGCCACTTTTCATCACATGCGAAGCAGGTCAAAAATTAGCCTCACAAATATCTGTGCCGCATGGCTTGGTGCTGTCACCATGCGCTTTGTGAAAGCAAGACTGAAAGCTGTGGTTCCTTGTAAAAACTGCTCAGCTCATCTACTACTGCCGGCCCTATCGTCGTTTCATAAACATGTCATCGGCGTTGGTCTTCTTTTTTCTCACCATTGGTTGTCCATTGTTTATCATAGCTGCAGGGCGTGGGCCAGCGGGTCTCGGCGGCAGACCCGTTGGTCCTATTGGAGGGGGACGGTCAGCCGTTCTGGGAGGTAAATTTACAAGTCCGGTCCGTGCGTCAGTCATACCAGTTCCGGGGAACTTATTTACTGGATTGGCTCTTGGGACCTTGCCTCTCGTAGAATCACTGCCAGAGGACTCGTCTCGTTTCCTCTTAGCCTCCTTACCCAATGCAGTCGTGTTCGAGGTCGGGACTGAACTCTTCACGATGGGAATGGCGGCTCCGTGCTCACCAAGTTGTTTCTCTGCTCGATTCTGGCGTATTCTGTCTCTTTTTTCACCCAACCGAATCTCTTCTCGCCGGACCTTCTCTTGTTGCGTTTTATCCAGTCTCTTATCTAAGGGTGCCGTGCATTGATCTGTTGTATGGCCTACTTCACCACAAGAGAGGCATCGAGGTTCATTGCAGTAGACAGCGGTATGACCAGGGAACTGACATCTGTGGCAAGTGCCGATTGATCCAGCTAGAGCTTCTTCATTGTCACAGTTTGTAGTGAGATGCTCATACGACCCACAAATTGTGCAGTTGCGATTCTCATTGAGACCGTTGCTGCCCCCTGAAGGATTGAATTCGCCAGGTTCAGCCTTAGAAAACGTAGTTTGTACCCTAGGTCCAGCAGGTTGTGGCTCGTTCAGAGCAAGACGTTGTTCAGCCCTGGTATTGGCCCTGGTGTCCGTTCTGGCATCGGCTCTGGTGAGATCTCGCTTTCCAACAGATTGTCCTGAGTCCTGCCGCTTGGGCTCTGGTCGGGCGATTGAAGTCGCCGAAGATTGTCTTGAAAGAGCATTGCCAGGTCGGGAAGTCGTCGAAGGAGCTTGATTTGAGGGACCACTCGGTCGAGAAGCTTCTTTCTGTTCCCTTCGTGGTGCGGGTGATGGTTCCTTCGACTCTAGCTTCTCGCTAAACGATCTTTCGGCAATAGTGGAAGACCTTACGGTTTCGGACATGGACTCAGTGTAGTCGAGCATTTCAATGTCGTCCTTCATCATGTCGTCCTTCATCATGTCGTCCGTCAAGAGCTGCCGGCCTAGCAAGACTGCAATGTTACCCTCAGTGTACAAATTCCTGGCCTTGGCATCGTTGACCAGAGCACGCCAGTACTCGCCTTGCATGAGTGCTTGCGAGTTACCCAAAACCCATAGAGAACATTTGGCACGGGTCAGACCAACGTTCATACGCCTGATGTCATTCAAGAAACCGATACCCTGGGTCGAAGCTCTGACACAAGAGAAAATAATGATCTCGCTCTCTCGACCTTGGAAAGCATCTGTAGTGTTGAAATCAATCTTTGAATAGATCGCTTCACCATATTGGTCCCTGAAGCGACGTTTTAGTTCATTCAGCTGGCCTTTGTATGGAGTAATGATGCCTATCTTTCCGGAAAAGTCATATTTGCGGACGTCTGTTGTCAATCTCCTGTAAAGTTGTAGTGCGACATTGATCTCGGCAACGTTGACCAACGAGTGCCCTTTGGTTGATGCTTGACTCATTCCTTGAACGTCAAAGAAGCGATAAGGAGCGAAAATCTCACTGTGGTGCCACGGTCTTCGACGAAGCTTATCCATGCCTTGGCCATCCTTTAGCAAAGAGTCGTAAAACATCCTGCTTGGGAAAAGACTGATCTCCGGATGCATACGATACTGCGTATCTAGAAGATGTACGTCTTTCTTGTGGTTGTTCTCCATACGGGCAAACAAACTCTGCTCGTACTGGAATTTGGCTGCCTTCCGCGACAGGACTGTAGGTGGTAATTGTTTCGGGTCACCAACGAGGATGCACTTGGAACACCCATATTTGAGAGGAATCAACGCAGACAGCTCAATTGACTGCGCAGCCTCATCGATAATGACCGTCTCGAATTCGATGTTGAGACTCTGGAATAGTTCGTGTCCGCTACCACTCAAAGTCGCGCAAAGAATGTGGGCTGAGTCAAGAATTTCCTGCTGGATTCGCTTCCGACTGAGTTCCACGTCCCGAGATGCAGTATTTTGCTTTTCTCTCAATTCGTCGATCCTGCTGCCTAGTCCATTTTGCTTCCGTCGAAGCGCATCCATAAGTTGTTCATCCTCTGTTGGCACTGTTTGGCCTTTCCCGCGTCGATCTTGAATTGAGTCTCGGAGATTCCTCAGTTCTTCCGAGACCTCTTTATGCTGCATCATGAGCCCATGGATGTCTTCTCCAGAACTCCTTGGTACGGCAACGCTGAGTTTAGCGTTGGCCAGTTCCTCGAGCGTAACGTCTTTGACATTGGTGTTGATGACTTCACTGCGACCCAAGCGGACGACTGATATGTGTTCAAAAGTGCCGTCCAACATTGTAACTCCCGTTTTGAACCTCATGACCAGTTCGTCAACTGCGGCATTGCTAGGAGCGCAAACCAAGATTTTTTTGCTCGAGGCAGGTGGTCGTGATGCGCCAAGAGCCGTACTTGGCCTTGCACCAATGTTGTTCTGTTTCTTGACGAAGCCCGTCAACATGGCACCGACGAGCGCGCAGATCGTTTTGGTCTTGCCGGAACCAGGAGGACCCTGGATCAAAGTGAATGCGTCGTTGTCGAGGGCGGATCTTACAGCTTTAGCTTGTGCAAGGTTCACATTGTAAGTGGCCTTGATTGGCTGGAGCACCTCTTCCGCATAGTCGAGTATGGGTGACGGTTGCGCTTTGATGATCTCGTCGCACAAGTCATAGTACTGCAATGCCATCAGGGCACCATACTCTCTCTCCAACGGGGTCAGCGACAGGATCTGGACACCGTAGACAACAGCTTTATCGTTCAGGAATGATCTCAAAGAGTTGTTGGCAGCATTAACCCGATAGACAACTTGGACTTCTCCTTTCTTCCTCGAGATTTCTTTGACTCTGGCAAGGCAGTGTGGTTCTCTGGGGTCTTGGTCCGGTCTGTTCGATTTTGACAACAACACAACATCCGAGACTCCAATGCCGAGATCCTTTCCTTCTGTGAAAGACATCAATGAATTGATTTCAAAGAAGCTGTCCACAATCAGAGAATTGGAGACTTTGACCTCGAACGCTTTGAAATTGCCTTCCTCCCGTGCCGCACGGAAGCTCTGCCAGCCTTCTAGGATCAACAGCGGCTCGAAGGTCTTCTGGTATTCCTCTGCAGTCCGAAATGTATCAGTAACAAGTGTGTAGTCGTCCTGCATTGAATTGGGAGGGGTGTCCGTTTCCGCAAAGAAATCCCAGCCCAGGATTGTGCGGTGCAATTCGCCGAGATCGGGAGCAAGTCGAGCACGAATATCTTTCTGGGTTCGTTGTTGCTTAATTTTCCGTACAGGACCTGCGGGTATGGGTTTCCTCTTTCCGAGTTGGTCACGAACCGTGGGGCCCTTTGACTGAATGCCAAACAGTTCATCATCCGAGTCGGAATCGAATTCCGACTCGCTGGACACCATGAGACTGTTTGGACCTGCCGAATGATCTTTGCCTACAACGCCGAGGCCAGCAAGTCCAGAACCTTGTCCGCTCGTCTGCGCACCGATTCCTGTTTTGCCTTTCAATTTGAGAGCAGCTTCCTTGTCTCGGAGTTTTCGGGCTGCTTCTTCGCGCTTCCGATTTTCAATGAAGACCTTCGCCTCTTGTGCCCTCTTTACTTGGATGTCGATGGTAGATACTGGAGCGCCTTTTGATTTCGAAGGCGGCTGTTGTAAGAGTAGGGACTTGATCTTCTTCTTGTCGTTGGCTGTGACTGTTGCTTTATGAGTATCGAGCGTTTTGCTAGCGATCTCAATCAAGTCATCGTCAGCGATATCATCATCTCCAAATTCGTCAGCGCTACGATCTCTAGACTCAGGGGTAGAAATTCTTGCGACAGCGGCTGCGTCCGTCCATTTTCCCAGGCTGAGTGTGGCTTGCTTCTTGACGGCCGGTCTTCCGATTTGACGGTCGAAATAGTCTTCCAGTGCTCGGACCAGTCTAGCTTTTTGTGAGGCTGAGAGCATTGTTCTGACGGTTGTTCCTGTCGCAACGTCCTCCACGTATGCAAGACCTTCACTGTTGGTCACGACAGCCCGGAGCCGCTTGAGCTGGTACAGCATGTTGCAAATCAATGAGACTAGAGTATCAACCAGATACTCGTCTCTAAGTCTCAGCCACTTGCACATGGTATCCAGAGCACTCAAGGGTGATCCTATGTTCTTCTCGCTGGTGGTAGCTGAGTCCAAGAGGATCTTTCGCATCTCGTCAGCTCTATCGGGCTTTGCTTTTGTCAAGACGCTAGCGAACAGGTCGTACTGATTGAAGAGCTCTTCAGCATATTGCATGGCATCACGGCAGACTTCTTTCATGGTGTCCTTGTTGTGGACCTCCATTGACCAACGTTCCGTGTGACCATAGATGGTCTTGAGAGCGATCCACTGGTATGACCAATAGCTTTGAATGGCTTTGAGATCTCGACTCGAGAGCTGTGTGCGTCGTAGTTGGCCATCCGTAGGGTTGCAAAGCACATCAAGGATTTCCATACCCGTCTTGAGCATCCTAGGGACCGAAGCAAACGTCTTATAATTTGCTACTCGCCTAAACAGCCAGCACACCCCATAGATGGTTGTCCCGAGAAAAGCGTGGATCAAATGGGCGAGTGCTTCTTTCCGACCCGACTCTCCGCTGATATTCTTGACCATGGCTACAGCTGCTTCGTATATCCCTTGATGCGGAGAGAACAAGGCAGCTACCAGAGACATACTTGAATCTTGTTGTCTGAAAAGGGTGTCGAGATGAGGTGGCTGAAATTCGGATATGCGCTCCAGAAGCTTGCTGACCATCTCGTTTACTTTTTCAAAGATAGAGTTGTACGACTTCTTTTCTTTCGCCACACTGTCACCCTCTCTGATTCGGAACTGTTCCAGACCAGGGAGAGACATGATTCCGAGCAGTGCTGCGGTGGACAATGCGTGATCGTCGTCCCGTAGGTTGTCGATGACTGAGGTCCATATCTCTGGAGTGTAGGCGCTCGAATCCTGCCTTCGGGGCTCATTGCGAGTGAGGTTCTCGAAATCAAGCTTAAGGCACTTACATTCCAAGGCGAATGAATTTTTAACGAGGTTAACAATGTTATTTCGAGTCTCCTTCTGCAGTGATTGAGCAAGAGCTGGGTCCCTTGGCCTCAGTATCACATCTAGACGATGCCCAACCAGATTGAGTGTGTCAAGATAGACCAGCCGCTCAACGGGATGCTGGCCATCCTCCTCCTCGCCGGAGAAACTGATTACCGTCTTCAATAACACTTTTACAGCCTGTTCTAAGCATGCTCCTCTCGCTAAAAGGCTGATGGCGGGGTTGTCAATTCTTTCGAACAGCTGGTTGAGGAGGGTGTGTGAAGCAGGCGGCCGATTGGCAGGCTTGAGAGATTCCAACAATGAGTTGATCCAAGACAGAACATTCGGAGCGGATCGGTCAGTAGCTGCCGAAGAATCTTGAAGGTCCTGATTGAATAGGGGGCTTGCGAAGATCTGCTCGACAATTGTCTGCGAAGAGATGGAGCCCATAGCCTGCCAGAATGCGTCAGGGGCTTTGTCCAAGATTTGTTTAAGAGTTGAAAGAATGGAGGGGACGGCTGTGGTTCGCTTGGCCAAGTGGTTCAACGCTGTTGTGCATATGTTTGGGTGCAGGTCGAATAGCTTGTAGGTGATCATCCGTTCGTCGAGTGTTCCGACAATCACGTCCAAAGCACTCCAAAGTTTCGCAACTTCGTTTGGATCGGAGGCTGTCTGTAACTTCTTCTGGAGGTGGTCTTTTACTGCCCAATCCCATTCAAGGTCCGTGGGACATCGATCAAGTCGTTTCCAGATCAGACTTGCCCATACCACTCGGGCCGTATTAGAATCAAAGAGAAATCGTGTAGCGGCCGGTAAGACCTCTCGCATCTTAAGCGGCTTCTTGGTCTGGATCATCTTGAAGGGGGCATCAAAATGTCTCTTGAGTTTCTCTTCGTCGTCTAGGAACGCTTGGCATACGAGCGCCTCGAACAAAGCGTGCAAGTGTCTTGGATCCAGTACCGCAGTCCCTCTCTTCTGTTCTGCCACACCTTGCAGGGTTTTGTCAGCGGCGTCCAGTCCCTGGACTATCCGCTGGACGTCCCTCCGGTTGATCAGGGCAAAGAAATTAGCAATGTCATCGTCCTCGTAGTCCTCTCGCAAGGCAGTCAGAAGGTCGATTTTGGCGATGTAGTATTCGCGTATGCAAATGTCACATTTTCCCAGGGCTTCGTCAAGGGTTTCCCAGATGAAACGCTGGTATTGCTCGCTTTCCTTCCCATCATAGGCGAGGAGTTGGAGTGACGACACAAATTTTTTTCGCCGCTTCTTTGCTTCTTCGATTCTGGCAAGGCGAACTGGGTCGTTGGGACTGGGATCTCTTTCGTCCTCATATCTGTCGCTATCGTCATCGCTGAGGCGGGGGCAGAAGATGTGGAGTCCGGGGGGCATATGTTTGAATTCTCTGTGCACGCGATAGACATTGATCAGCGGGTCTTTAGCCAAGGAACGACATGTGGTGGTTAACTTACTGCAAAGCTGTTATGAACTCCGCCATGGCGGCGGTGTTTGTTACAGCGGTGGCAGACGGGGATGTGAAATGTGAGTGGGTCGGATGAGGGGGATCTTGAATCTCTCATACTGGTATGACGGTGATCACATTGACGGATGCTCGTGCTACGAGAGATGCTCAACTCTGAAAGGATACTCCAAATTCCATTATTGGCAGTTGGTGAAACTTTTGGAGAATGGAACTACACTTTGAGAGCCGCGGCGGGCGCGTCAACCAGGCAAAGTCGCGTGCAGCCGAAGGGACGAACCGCCGCTCCAAGCACTTGGCACGGACCAGCATTTAGCGTTATTAGCGCCGAAATGGGACGATATGCAGCAAGTTAGCCGAGTGCTTTAGGTGCGATCGGTGCTAAAGACGGCGACGGGCTTGGGCAGCTTCTACATGGCTTCGACATACATGCGCCGTAGGGTCAACAGATTTCAGTCAGCTATGCGCAAATAATACTTGTTGGATATCTGCAAAGCAGAGGGCACTCATGAGGCCCAAATGGCTGTTCAACCTACGAAACAATCGCCCTCAAGTTCTGCCCCTTTTAGGGACGCGGCTCCGTTTTGGTGTTTTTAAAAAGTATATACAGCACAAAAAGCCTTCGCTAAATAATTCACAATTCCATGGCCAGTCTCTCTTTGGATGCCCCTTATAATACCTGTCCAATATCCATGCGTTCCGCAAACTCCGTGATCATCATAGCTATAGAGGGCCGGCATAAATTCGTGATACACAAAATGTGCTGTGTTGCCCCTGGTCATGAGGCCACTACACGTTCTCTTCAGGAATCACTCGCGTATTCACCTCGCTGAGACCAGGTTGGGAATATTGAGATTCCATCCTTGACAGCATGGCGGCGCTGGTGAAATCACGACTGCCTTCGAAACTCGGTCTGAGCTTGTCGAAAGACTGGCGTTGCCTCTCAAATGATGAGCGAGCGCGCTCCACGGAGGGTCTCCTCCGCCGTAACTTCTCGGGTGTAGACGAATCCCCGTGATATCCAGCCGTATCAAAGGATGGCTGGGTTCTGTCCGTGCCGTCACTACCCGTTTGGCTGTGAGGGTGACGGGTAGGGGCTTCTGACGGTGGATAAATGGGCCGCTGCGATTCTGCCATGCTCCCATATCGCGCGTGGTGAGGCTGCTGCGGCTGCCCACTTACCTCCACAGGGACTTCTTCAGGTTGTTCAGATGATGTCCCAGAAACATCGACGACCTTGGGAGGAATGTATGCCCCGTAGTCGTCCAAATATTTGAACTTCCCCTGCCGAACCTGCTCTCGAACGATATCAATGTCGTAGGGCATGTAGTTCTTCTGGAAATATTTCACACAAAAGCGAGGGAGCAGACATATCACAAATGTCAGCAGCGTTAACGCCCAGAACGTTAATTGCCCGTAGACCTCGGATCCGGCCTTGTAGAATTGGAAGGACGCCTCGAAAGACGAGTAGATGCCAGTCCAGGCAAAGATCAAAAGACAGCTGATGACGGTGACCAACACCATGATCCAGTCCCACTTGTACGTGTTGAGGAGGATGTAGGAATTGATCACGATGATGGTAACACAGGCGACAAATACACCCATGCGGCTTCGATCAGCAATGCCTCGTCCGTTCTCCGTCTCGAAAGTTGCAGGCTGGAAAAGGAGATAGGCCATGAAGTAGCAAATAGCAGATTGGTACAGGCCGTCAGCCATGTATAGCCTGGCCTCGCGTCAGATAAGATGGTTCAACGGGACAATCAATTCCCTTACCAGAACTTCGTTTGAGTCCATTCTTTTCGCTCCATTCCACGGCGGTACAACTGAGGTACCGCAAGGGACACCTTGTCACTCACGTCTTGGTCAAGGATACCCAGCAGACCCACAGGCACAGAGGTGAAGGCCAAGTTCACGAGAAGGATATAGGTGTAGTCAAAGAGGTAGGTGATGTCAAAGTTGTTGTATATCTGGTACCAGAACAGAGCAAAGGTCCAGACCAGGTTCTGACAACGACGTTAGCAAAGAGCGCGAGAGAAATGGAGTTTCCACAGACCTTGTAGAAGAAGTTGGCAATGCTTTCAGCGAGACGGCGGTAAGACCAACGACCGTGGACGAGAACCAGTCGCTGTAGGAAACGGAATTGACCAATCGCATAGTCGGACGACATGACCGCCTGTCGCCCTTCTTCGCCAGCAATGCCGACACCGACGTCAGCCTCCTGAATCATGGCAACATCATTGGCACCATCGCCTATGGACAATGCCATAACGTCCAGTCCATTCTTGACTAGTTGAACGACGGCCGCTTTTTGTGCAGGGCTGACTCGGCAACAAAGGACAGACTTGCACTGTTTGCACAAGACCAAAAAGCGCTGTCTCAGCTCATCTCGCAAAACCAGCTTGAGAGACTCTCCGTCAATGACCAACGCGTGGGTTGGGGGTGGAGGCTCGTGAACAAGTCGAGCGGCTGCGAGCTCCTCGTCAGAGCCTGTCAACCCGAAAGTCTGGAGATGTTGATCCAACAGCTTCGCAGCTTCATCGACAGTGGCCTCGGGAATGTCGAATAAGATCAAGTCCATCTCATTCGAGAGTAAATTACAAGAAAAGCCAATGTTGATGGCGGTCTCGACTTTGTCGCCGGTAAGGACCCAAAGTTTAATACCTGCTTGGCCGAGCAGAGCAATCGTGTCGGGAACGCCATCTTGCAGACGATCTTCGATGGCCGTACCTCCAAGAAGTGTAAGGTCTCTCTCAATTCTATCGGCCACCTCTTCAAGCCGGTCCTCTCGGTCGGTCAGAGCTTGAGCGGCAAAGTCGTGATCCTTGTTCCATTCTTGGTAGTAGTCTTCGTCAAGATCTCTCTCCGCCACGCAGAGCGTCCTGAGACCTTCACGAGCGAACATTTCCAGGTTCTCAGCGGTCGCCTTGCGAAGTTCTTGCTGTTGGCCACGAACGAGACGGGAATAAATCATGCTGTCGGCACCTTTGCAGAACAACTTGATCTTTCCGTCCGGCATACGCACAATGGCACTCATCCGCTTTCGTGTCGAGTTGAACTCGAGAGTATTCAGGATCCGGTAGGTCCGATCTTCGCCTAGGATATTAACGTGGAGGTCATCGTTAGTACGACCCAAGACCGTGAACCCCATATCGCGCGCCGTTGCGACAAGGGCAGCTTCATCGGGGGACTGAGCCTTGAATTCGATCTTTGGTGGGTCACCTGGGGTCGTTTCCGTGATTACCGTGTGACAAAGAGCCAAAGCAATCATGAAATGTTCTGCCGCCGCTTGTTGTGCCTCACCCGATTGTCCATTCAGATCAGCCACAAAGTTCGGAGAAATAAATGTGAGCTCGTCGTCGTGGAGATAAGGATTGTCGTAGATCTTGCGGAGCATTTTCAACATCTCAACCCGTGCTTCCGCTATTTCTTGACGCACTCGGGCGGCCTCGGCCTCCACGTCAACACCTTGTCTTCTTCGCATCCCTGCTTCGGCTTCGGTGTAAGCTTCGCCGTATGGAACTCCGTTGATGGTGCACTTTTTGAACTCCATAACATTCTGGGTCAATGTCCCAGTCTTGTCTGAGAAAATGTACTCAATTTGTCCCAAATCATCCGAAATGTTCCAGCTCTTGGGGGTACAGGGGTAATCAAGTTTCTCATAGTACATGTGGACATCGGACCAAATGAAGAAGGCTTGAATGGATCTGACGATTTCCAAGGTGATGTACAAGGAAATGGGGACCAAGTTCTGGAACAGGACCACGGCGGCCCAGAAAGTGATGAAGCCGTCCGTCGGGGGGTTGCCGCCAATGGAACCAAACTCAAAAAAGTTCAAGGAGTTATTGTTTTCGGACCAGGTGACACCTTGCACGATACCGGCAACCAAACACATGAAGAACAAAATGATAAAGTTGTAGATAACGTTCCAGTTTAGGTCCCTAGCCATTCGTGCCCGTTTGCTGGGGGTGATGCCCGAGTTAAGCATGATCTTGGTCTCATTGCCGGTGAACACTACCACGCCGAGAATCCATTCGGTGTTTTTCAAGCTGCAGCCACGCAGAAGCATGTTGTTGATAGTAATAGGTTCGGCCATGTCTCGGGTGGGGCCGTTGGGATTTCTGGGGTCCTGCTGTTGCCATCGAGCCACGCCACTGTAAGCGTACAAGTTCGGATTGGGTCCCTCGCTGTCGATCAAGAACTCGGCGAACTCGCAGTCTTTGGCGTGCTTGACTTTTCGTCCCGCCTGAAGAGCGTGACGGACCTTCAAATTTGTCTCGCCGTCCAAGTTCTTCGTTTCGATATAGCATGCACCATCGGGGTCAGACGTCGACAGAACGACGATGTCGGCCGGGACCGGCTCGTCATTGTAGATACGGACAAAATCGCCCACTTTGACATTTTTCCAGTAGTCTTTCTTGAAGCGGGCGGTATCAGGGACCTCCTTGTGAGGATTGATCACAGTGCCATAGTCCTTCTTTGGGGGAATCACGCTCTTCCTTTTCGAGGAATTTTGCGTCCGCAGCATCGAAGGTGCGTTGTCTCCACCAACGCGAGCCTCATCCGCTGTTTCGTACGAAAATGCACTGCTCGGAGGTCCGCCATTGGCATCTGGGGAGAGGCTGGATCGGTAACCCGGGGAGGGCACGGGTGTCATGGCAATGTCATCACCAGCTTGACTCTGAGAGGAGTGAAACGAATCGCCTTCTTCCGAGTAGATCGAGCTTCGAATTGTATGCCTTGTAGCGATCGAATGATTCCTTTGCAAACCGGGGTGATCCGCAACCGCATCCTTTTCCGACCGTTTGGGTTGGCCTTTCCTCAAGGTCTTCATCCAGCGATAGGTCGAAATGACGGATCTCGTACAGGCCTTCTTGATTCGCCTCCACAGGGAGATGTCATCATCAGAGGAGTT